AATATTAGTAAGGCAGTTAAGCCACCCCCCCCCCCCCAAGTAACCGATACCCACCCCGAACCGATAGAGAAAACCGTGATTTTCGCTTACTTTAACTTTTTATATCTATAGACCTATTAAGGATATATAATATAAGAAATATATACAATAGTATAGGTATGAAAATAAATATAAATCTATTTAGTTTATATTTTAGTTAATTATATAATCTATAATTAATACTTAGATATAGTATTTAATATTATAGAAAGTTTATTAATAGTTATTTTATTATTCTTTTAAGATAATAATACTATTTAAAACTTCTTAATTCTAAGTAAAATATAAGATATACAATAAAACTTTACTATAGTAAAGTATTATGATTAGTTATTATAATATTAACTAATAGCTATAAAAACCTATATAGTAGTAATATAGAGATGTTTTATTAATAGATAATATAGTATTAATAGCTATAATAATAGTTACTTTAAATTTAAACTTGTTTTTAAATTTACATAGAATTTTACTAACTAGCTAATTTAATATAGAGTTTTAAGTAATGTTAAGGCTTTCTTAGTATTTAGTAAGAAAATACTAACTAAAACTCTTTTACTTTATATTTAGTTTATTACTAGTAAATAGCTTAGTAATAATTTATATAATATTTTATTTAGACATAAATATTACTAAACTAGCTATATAGAAACTTTTATAATTTTATACTATAATTTCGCTAAGTTATAGTATTTTAAAAATAGTGTGTTTTTGAAGTTTATATGTGGAACTGGTTATCGGTTACCCGGGGGTATCGGTTACTTAGGGGGGTGACTTAGAGTCTATCCATCCGTATATCGCCTTGAAGACTGGTGCCCTTTCAACTAAACTCTCCGAGCTGCGCTGTCTAGAGACGTCGCCCCAAATTCCGCCCCTTCTTCAGAACAGCACCCTTTCCCCCCTCTCTTTTTGGCTCGAGGCTAAGATCTAGGTCCCAAAAGCTCTTGGACCTACTCGAATAGACTTCCCGCGATCCCGCCACTCTAACAAAAGCAACAAACCTCCCGTACGCCCGCTCTCGAGACATCTTTGCGTTTTCTTTGTCTGAACCTCCTTTGAGGGCGCGATGGCACTAATCTGCAATCGCGAACCTTGCGAGACCCAACTACCCCGCGATTTCAGGCATTCCTTGGAACATTACAGTCCAAGCCCGTAGTGACACCGTAGTTGACCTACTTAAACTCCCATTATCGTGATGTTGAAGCAATGAAAAGTTGAATGAATCCAAGAACAGTGTCTCTGCCATTACCGACGAGGATATCAAATGTAATCTACGTACAGAAGCTTCCCACACATTACGCTCATCCGCTCAGCAGCCCTCACAAAACTACTACTAACTGTTACCCCATTGCTCTCACAGCACGAGCAGGTCCCCGTTGCCTCCCTGCGCCGGCTGCACAATCTGTTGCGGCGCGTGCTGGTTGACCACGTACCCCGTCTCGTAGCCCGACGTGTCCCCGAACGCGTCGCCCTGATCGATCCGCATCGCCGCCATTTGCTGCGGGCCGATGCTGGAGAAGTAGGCGTCCGCGTCGCTGACGGCTTGGGCGAGGTTGCCATTGGCATCGACGCCGCCCGCCGCGTTGTTGTTGACGTGCTGGCTGTGCATGTTGATGTCCTGCGCCTGACTGCCCATGCCGAGCATGCTGAGGCTCTTCTGGTTCTCGATCGACGTCGGGAGGAGGTGCTTCTGCAGCGCGGGCGAGTCGATGAGCTTGCGCGGGCGGGCGGAGCGGAAGACGGTCTGCACGGGCTTGAGGTACACGGTGGCGAGGGTGCCGACGTTGAGGCACATCTCCTCGAGCGTCGCGGGGTCGAGGCGCTCCGACTCGGCCGTGATGGCGGGCTTCTCGCCCATGACGATCTTCTTGGCCGCGTTGATGTCGGTGGACAGGAGGCGCCAGTACATGTACGCGCGGTCGCGGAGGTCGGGGTTGTCTGTCTCTTCCGTGGCCCACTTGAGCACCTTCGGGACCAGCTCCGCGCCCTTCGTCGGCCTCTGGATGAAGAGCTTGACGGTGGCGGTGAGCAGCGCCAGCTGGACCTCCACGGGCTCCTCGGCGAAGGAGTACAGGAAGTCTTCCAGGAGGGCGTCGCTATTCTCTATCCTGTCCGCGTACTGGCCAATGACCCACACCATGGCGGCCTTGGCCTCCGGCTCGTCGAGAGAGTCGAGGTGCTCGCACAGGGTGCCGATGATGGACTCGTACTGGTTGGGGTACTTGCGGAAGATGTTTCTAATAACGACCGTGGCCTCCTGCACAATGTACGTAACCTTGGTCGCGACCAGCTCCAAGAGCAGGTTGATACACTGCCTTGCTGCCGGTTCGATCTTGATGGCGAGCTTTCCTATGGCTCGCACGGCTTTGCGCACAAAGTGTACATCGATCTCGGTGGCGTACTCTCGCAGTTCGGTGAGCACCTCGTCAATGTTGTTCTCGTTGGCCAACATGAAAATGAGCTCCAGCTTCGTGACCTTGACGTAGATGGGGTCGTTGTATTTGCAGAAGAAGACGCGGATATCGTTGCGCAAGACCTCGGGCCGACGCTGCAGAATCAAGAGAGCATTCCTCAAGGCTAGGTATTGCACTTCGGGGCCCTTTGCGAGAAGAGTTACCAGGGGCGGCGACAGCTTTTTGCAAAGCGCCGCGTTATGTCTTTGGTCGGCGATGTAGTTCATGAGATACAAAACGACACGGATACACGTCAGAACGACAGCAGAGTTGGAGTGTGATAGGCGTGGTGTGATACGCTCCGCGAGGAGAAGAGCTTCGTTTCCATCTTGGGGCACGTATGACATGAGCGCCTCGAGGATGTACGTCTGGCCCCATCTGAACGTCTGTGTCAGCACGCAATCTTGACATTACGCTTTGGGTGTCAACCTACTCAGAGCAGTCCGCCAAGATGGCCACCATTTTTGAGGCATTGCTGTAGTCGATGGTGAGCTTGATCGCATCGCTGCGCTCCCAGATGTCCATCAGAGATGCCAAAGCGCTGGCAACAACCGTAGGGTTGTCGTCTCTGAGCAGGGTATTCAATCTGTCGATCAAATCGGAACCCTCAACCATTCGTCGGTCGTGGTCGTAGAGCTTCGCGACGCAAAACGCTGCCGTCTTCCTCACGTATGGGTCGGCATCCTTCAGCATGTGCTTAACCAGTGGAACAGTCGCTTCGACGAATTCGCGGACGTGGATGTAGGACATCGTTCGGAGTGCAAGCGCTCTGACGAGGGGGTTGTGGTCTTCCATATCCTGGACACTGTCAGTCACGGCTTCTTACGCAACATCGCAACATGACAACCTACCTGCTCTAGTACTGGGATCGCCTGAACTGCAATCTCGGGTCGCATTCTGGCATAGTTCACCAAAAACAAGAAGCACCTGGAGTTTGTCAGAAAGAGCCCCCTGGGAGTGCAGACATGAGGCCATACATCTTCTTGATTTCCAGACTCTGGATATGCATGCAGCCGATGATGTCGGGGAACAAGGCGACCATGTCATTGTTGCTCATGGTCATGTTGGCGACAATCTTCTTGAGGGCGATCTTCTTGTTCGCATTGTTCTTGTCCTTCTTGCCGCCGCTGTTCAGCTCGAGCCTCAGCTCGGCTACCTTGCCCTTCGAGGTTGTCAGCTGTCTGATGTAAGGCGGCGGGGGCACATAGGCCATGAACATGCTGGGCGGCGCATATGCAAGCAGTCAGGCAAACATGGGCCAGAAGGAGAGGCTCGGTGATGGTTGCGAGGCAGCTCAAAGCCGCAGGACGCAGAAGGCTAGGGTATGCGGGAGAGGGAAGATAATGTAGACTTTCAGAACCAAGACCTTGACTTCTTCAAAGTCATGACAGGGGTTCAGATGCAATACATGCAGGTATCACACGACAAGAGACGGGCGCACCCAGCGAAGAGTGTGCAAGACAGGAGAAGCAGAAGCTAGAGCTTACCCTGGCAAACAACTTGGAGTCTCCTCCACCCTGAGCGGCCGACATGATGACGCCCTCCTATATGAGACCTGGCGGTGGTCGGTGTGGTAGTATGTAGTGCGAATCTTAGACAGTAGTTCCCCTCTGGACAGGCCTCCAACAAGCTTTGCCGGCGTGTGCTTCGATCGGGTGGTGGTGGGCGATAACACCACAGACCCCTCACGCCTAGCTGTACGAAAGTCGGCAAAGGATGGGTAGGTATCGTTGACGCTGTTTGCTTCCCCCGCGGGCCTAGGATCAAGCCACCCAATTGGTAAGAGGGTCGCAAAAGTTGGCGGAAGGCTGCAGTTTTCCTGGACTCGAGTGTCTTGAAATGGTGGGAGGGGGCGCAGGTGCAGAAGTGAGGGATGTCACATGCGTCGTTGGGGCCGGGGGGTTTTCGATTCGCGGCCAATCGAAGGGTTTGTTTGCTGCGATAGTCCTTCTCTCGTCTCGATGCCAGATGCCGGCCGGATCTCCTCGAGGTCGGAGTTGTTTGATTTCTCGCGCGGCGCAAGTCCGATCGATTTCGCGGGTTCGGCAACGGTCGATTAAAGAGTGCCGGTTTCGGTGCAACGGCGACTTTGCAGGATGTCGTCGTCGTCGGTCAGTTCTCGTGGACGGCCCGTTTTCGTTTCCAGATGTTTAAGGGGAAACGTTGGGTGAGAAAGGGTCCCAAAGCTCCCGCCGTTCCGCGGTGGATGCGACAGGCCCCCGGTACGCTACTTTACCACTCGCATGTCGCAGCAGTCGCGCTCGCCCCGGTTTTAGCTTATCGGCCTTATGCAGGGCCGATAAGACACGGGCCCGACCTCCGGTTGCTGCTAAGGTAAGCAAGCGACAGCGCCTGTCCCTTGGTTTAACCGAGCTATGGTGGAGACTCCATCCAACGTCGTCGCGAGCTGTCAACGCCGCCTCCGAAGCTTTCATCCCAACGGCCCGCGCCCGTGTCATCAAATACCGAACCCGAAGTCCCAACCAACCGATCCCGATATCTACAAAGATGGCTCTGGTCAATGGCTCCGTTCCGCGATGGGTTGCGGATTTGCAGTCTCCTCCGGCCGCAAAGTCCAAGGTCTCAGGCATCTCCGACCCCCCCCGGCTACCCATCGCAGTCCACTGGCTCCAAGGTACGGAATCGCATCGAGCTCGCGTTGGAGCTGCGCTGACATCTGCATACAGAAGCAGAAGGATCAAAAGTTCCAGCCTCAGCCCCGCAAGCAGCAGTCGCCCGAGGAGATGGACACGTTGAAGGTCAAGAAGGCATGGGAAGTCGCCCTCGCCCCGGTCAAGAACCTGCCCATGACGGCCATCATGATGTACATGTCGGGCAACTCGTTGCAGATCTTCAGCATTATGATGGTCTTCATGGCTTTCAAGAACCCTCTTGTCGGTCTCACTGCGGTCAATCAGGCGTTTGAGAGGTTCGAGTCGGAGACGAACAAGGGCAAGATGCTCCAGGTCAAGCTGGCATACGTTGCTATGCAATTTGTTGCGCTGGGCTTGGCTGTGTGGAAGGTCAACTCGATGGGACTGTTACCGTATGTGTTATCGTCTGCAAGCATTGGCCATATACTAACGCGAACACAGGACAACGCGATCAGATTGGCTGGCTTGGGAGGTCCGCAGAGAGCCCCTGGAATTCTCAGTGCCCGCGTTATAGACATGAATTCAATTAAAGGCTGTGTCTCAGCTAATTTTCGCCTACACTATCATTAATCGTCATCGTCTTTCGCTCGGATTGTCCGCTTCCTGCGGTCGACGCCGTGCTTCCAGGATCTCCAATAAGCTGGGTGACAGGATCATGCTCAGGAACAACTACTGAGCTTATGGCGTTGAATGGATCATCTTCTATAGGTGTCTCAAGCCAGCGTCGCCTTTGTGTCGAGGTTGACTCGTCATGCGGACCAACATCGGGTACTACGATGTTCGGTTGATCTGCTGATATCACACATTGACGATCATGCAGCGGCCGTTGTATTGGGACAGCCAGGCCGTTATTTGGTATGCCTGTGGTTTCTTCAATTGGTTCTTGGGGAACCCTGGCAACAGCGGTAGCCCTTTCGGATAACATGAAAGCCTCAGTCAGGTCGTTCTCGTCGTCAAGGATTGCCTCTAAGAGTAGCCCCAGGGGCAAGTTCTCGAGAGGTTGGAGGTGGATCGCTCCAAGCTCAGTGAGAAGGCTGTCGACATGAGTCTATCAAACGAGTCAGCTCCGCACTAAGGCCTGGTTGGATGATCCTGTCTCACCATCTCGGTCAACGTCTAGGTTGGTCTGATTATATGTATGGTTTGTTTGTCACGGTTAAGGAGCTGCTCATTGCTTTTCATGGAGGTGGGGGCCATAGACTTTTATAGTCATCGACCGATCCTTAGACTGTAGTCGAGGTTGAACGAGAGGCTTCGGGTGTCAAGGCTGTCCAGATCGAAGGTAACAGCATCATAAGCTTATTTTTAGCTCACAATGATCAAGACAACCATCGCAACACCACGAAGAGGACGTGTTTCAACCAGTAACGCTCTCTCGTCACGCTCGTGTTTGTTTTTAACTATAAGCGGCTGAAGCCAGTCCGAGTCTTTACCCAAATCAGGACATCCCAGCCGATTAAGAGACAATGCTCCGTACGAGCCGGCAATATCCCCCATAGGTTTGTCGGAGTTGATTCTGACGTCCTGTCGCGTGGTCATTGGCCAATGGGTTGGTAGGAAAAGCAGGCTTCGAAAGCTGTACCTGACACTAGGACGATGACGATCCCTTTACATTCCAGCTCTGGGTTCCAAAATGGGACCAAATCTGGAACATGACCACCCACCGTTTCCTGGCGTGTTTTTCGAAACAAGTGGGCTTGCTGGCCAGGCCATGCTTGGCCAATGACCACTAGAGGTCGCTCACCCGCAAGAAACCTGTGTACACGATGCCGTGTTTGTGCAAGATGTCTCTGGTTGATGTCTCTCGTGGTTTCTGTCGGGGCAGTCGATGTCTGATCCGCGGCCTTTGTTCTTCGTCTATCCAGACATGCCCTGAATCGCCCGCCCAACCTCCAGCCGTAGGTGGGTGGTTGCCTCGACTGCCTTACCGGTCTAAGTCGACGCTAATATATCTCCCTTCTCAAACCTTCGCGGAATAAGCCTGTCAGGTCTTACCAAAAGCCAATCCTCGAAGCTGTATCCTGGGCATTTGCACATGCTTATTGAACGCGGCACCGAAAACAGAGAAATCCATGTTGAGAATCGCGAAGGAGGCTCAAGCAGCAGCCTCGATGACATACACCTCATTCTCTATCCAAGCCCCCCCCCCCCCCCCCCCCCCTATTTCCCTTTGCTGCTTTGTCCGTTGTGAACCGACAGAGACCGATGGCTGAGACCATCCAACCCAGCAGAGAACACTTAGGATCGAGGCAACGGGACTGGCGTACGGGCGCTGCGGTAGTGTTGTTGAGGCATTTGGCGGAACGTCTGGAGCTTTGGCATCGTTCCGTGGCGTTGACCCGCATTCTAAATATGAGGGGTTACAGTTGGCAGGTAAGCCACGGCGGAGCGACCCAACGATCACAGGCTCGATGACAGACCGCGCAAGAAGACCCCCCTCGATGTTTGGCCGTCACATACGAAGCAACTGACTCGAGCAAGATGGTCCGAATAAGTTCTGAGATCTCAATGACGCTATCAGTTATCGCATCTGCCTAACCGCGCTTTGCGCAACAATGTACCCAATCATCACGAGGCTTCCTTCATCCGCCTCTCATTCCTCCAGCCCGGCCCATTTCTAACAATCAGAAACATCATCGGACTGGTCACTGCGCACAACGCAGCAATGAACGTGAAGCACCACCCCCTGCCCATGCCAGAAATCATGTACTCGATGATGGCCGTGCCCACGGCGCCCACCAGACACCGGACGAGGTTGTTCGCGGCCGTGGCCGTGGCCGGCGCCTCGGGGTACAGGTCCACGATCAGGGTGTTCATGATGCTGAAGGACCCCGTGATGGTGAGCCCGATGATGCTCTGCAGCACCAGCGGCGCCGCGACGCTCGTCTCGAGCTGCAGCACCCAGCCGTACGCCACCAGCGTGATCAAGCCGACAACGACGGCGGGGTAGACCGGCTGCAGGCGGGCCTTCTCGATGGGGAACTTGCCGAGGTCGTCGCCGCGCCGGCGGTCGATGGTGAATCCGATCTTTCGTGCGATGCGCCGGTAGTTCCAGTCGAGCACGTACCCTTGGCCCAAACTCGCGATGCAACAGCCCGCGCCGTACGGCAGATAACACAACCCCAGTTGCAAATCATTAAAGTGATAAATCTCCCGGAACAAAGTCCCCAACGTCGCGGCCACATCGATGAAGGCAACGTACAACAAGGAATTGTACACCAGGATCAGCGCCATCTCCTTTTCAAAGATAATCTTGACCGCCCTCAACGGGTTCGGGAACCTAAGCTTGCGCGCCGGCTGCCCCGCCACCGACTCCTGCCTCTCCAGCCCGGCCGCCTCCCGCTCGCGGTGCCGCCGCCGCCGCCGGATGAGGTCCAGCACGGGGCGGTTCCACGTCTGCGCCGGGACGGACCCGTTGCCGACGACATTGCGGCACGTCTCGGGGATGAAGAGCGCGAACGGCACGAGCCACGCCCCGATGAGCGCGACGCAGAACCAGAAGATGGACGCCCAGCCAAAGTACTGCGTGAGCACGCCGCCGAGGACAGGGCCGATGGTGGGTCCGACGTTGATGCCCGCGCCGACGATGCCCATGTACTTGCCGCGCTCGGAGGACATGGAGATGTCGGCGACCATGGCGAAGCCGAGGGCGATGGCGCCGGAGCTGCCGCCGGATTGGAGCATGCGCAGGACGATGAGGGCGGCGTAGTTGCGCTGGAGGGCGAGGCCGACGTTGGCGACGAGGTAGATTGCGAAGGCGACGAGGAAGGCGGGGCGGCGGCCGGCCATGTCGCCGAAGTCGCCGAAGAGGGTGGGCGAGACGGCCTGGAGGATCATGTAGGAGGTGACGGTGAGGTTGACGGCGGCGACGGAGACGTGGAGGTCCTCGGCGATGGGGGCGAGGACGGGGTAGTAGATGTTGGCGGACATGGGCGGGACGAAGCAGGCGACGGCGGCCATGAAGGCGACCCAGCGCTTTGTGGACGGGGGGAAGGCGCTGTAGGCTGGGCCTGAGGGTTGGCGGGTGAGGTTCTCGGGGTCATCTTGTTGGGTTGTTGGTGGGGGTTCGTCGACGGGCGTGTTGTCTGAAGAGTTGTCGATGGAGACGGTTTCGTCTTGTTCTTTCTCCTTGATGGGTTGAGGTTGTGAAGGAGTGGGTATTACTGGTGGCTCAGCTGAGTTGATGACGGACGGTAAACTTGTGTCTTCCCCTTTTGGGGGGATGTCATTGTGTGCCATACTGATCTCAACTCTGAGTGCAGAAAGACTGACGTCGGTGTGAATATCACGAGTTCAAGTGAGATGAACGAAAGTACTTGGACGATTCGATTCGCTACGCCACCAACGATGAAGTTAGAAACAAGACAGCGTCAACACAACATACCAAACACAGGACAAAATCTCAAGATAAGAAGAAAGAACCAAACACCAATAGATCGACCTTCCCTTCATGTAAAACTTGTCGTCGGTATCCGTCCGTAAGCGGGCCCTATTCCCGCCCACCGGGCCGCCATGAATGATGTTATTTCCGCCCTGGCATCACCTCCACCACACCCTGGAAAACCGGCACCTGCGCCGTTCGCCATTGCGGCTCTCGTGATTCGCCCGGTCCGGCCCATGGTGTCCACCACGCCCGCTGTTTTGGACAAGTGGTTCTGTCTCGACCGTCTGGCATTGACCGCGATGCGACAAGCTTGGTGCGGTATCGGGGGTTTGGGTGAGCGTCGAGCTGACTCCAGCTCTGCTCCATTGATTTTCGTTCAAAGGCACATGGTCACTTGACCAGCTGGTTCCTGTCGTGCAACGAGAACGAAGGCCAATTTCGGTTCATCATTGTGGCTCAGTTGTCTGTCATCAACGTCTATGAAGGGACTCTCTGGCCAATATGCATGTTGAAACCGGTGTCGAAATGTTTGACCGAAGTCTTCTTCGGCGGCGAAGCTTCCTGCCACCGACCCGGGTGGGTACTGGACCGTGCGTTTTGCCGACCGCGGTGCCGAAGCTGCGCCGGTAGAACTCGCCTTAGCACGGCCACATCTGCCACAGGATCAAGCCACACATTTCAGCCAGAGCAAGCCGCTGTGGCTGGTGAGTCCAACGGCCAAAGCCACGTCATTGGAGAACAGCTTGCCAATCCCAGGTCGTGGTGGAATGTCGATGGCCTCTCACGACATTGCTGCTCGACTGCACCCACGACACACGAATAGCATGCGCACCGTAACTAGGTGACGAACCCCTCAACTCCCTCGAATTTTTCGTCTGGCCGTTTCGTCTGGCCGATCCCAGCTACGGCCGCAATGGACATCACACCACTCTTCAACGAGCTCCTCCGGAAGCACAATGCGCCCCCCGTCACCGAGAAGAAGCTCAGCCTCGAAGCGATTGACGGCTTCCTGAAGGAGGCCTACAGAATAGTCAGTCGCCCCATCCCTCCAGCAAACCACCCAAACCCAACTAATGCCTCATTCCAGAACTCCCACATCACAACCCTCCACAAGGAGCTTAAAGACGTCCGACAAGCCTACCTCTCCACCGCCCAACCGCGGCGGCATGTCCGCACGAACACAGGGAGCAGCTCCCTGAAGGAGCCCCAACAGCCCCTGACGGACCGGCAGCGCGAGGACATCGACGCGCGCGCCAAGTCGATGCTGCGCGAGCTCAACGCGTCCATCCGCGCGCTCGACGAGACGGAGCAGCTGCGCCGCGAGACGGAGGCGGCGGTGATCCGCAAGACGCACGTGCGCGGGCTCGGCGCGCTAGGCGCGTGGGCGGCGGGCTCGGAGGTCGCGGACGCGCGCAAGTCGGCGGAGCACCTCGCGGCGGAGGGGAAGGCGCGGGACGTCGGGCTGCACCGCGACGGCGTGCTGTGGAGCCTGCGGCAGGCGCTGCAGCTGTGCGGGCGGACGCAGCAGGACATGATGGAGGCGAGGCTGACGCGGGAGATGGAGAAGAACAGGAGCGTGCTGGCTAAGGCGGGCGGCGGGGCGATGCCGGAGCTGGACGGCGGCTTCTACGAGGCGATGAAGAGGGAGAAGGAGGCGAAGAAGGGAGGGTTTGATACGGCGACGGGGCTGCCGCCGGATGAGGGGTCGTATGACTTCAGGCAGGACCTCACGGAGGAGCAGATTCAGATGTTTGAGAAGGGGAATCAGGACATGCTGCAGCATTACAACAGCACGTTGGACAAAGTCAGGTACGTGGCATGGGGGTTCCTTTTCAAGACGGCTTTTGCTAACATGGGTGTTTTGTGCAGGACGGCAGAGAAGTCGCTGATTGAGATTGCCGAGTTGCAGACGTTGCTTGTGGGCAACCTCGCGACGCAGTCGGCGCATATAGAGCAGCTGGTGTCAGATTCGGAGAACATCACAGCGGACGTTGGCGGTGGTAACAAGCAGTTGAAGAAGGCGACGCAGAGGCCAAGTGCGGCGAGGTACACCTTCTTCGCGTCGGCGGGGTTATGCGCGTTCTTGATCTTGTGGGATTTGGTGATATAGATACCTCAACTGTCTCATGAGGAGGCTGTAAAAATACACACCAATGCTCAATATCTCGTAGGATGTTCGAAGTAAGCTGATGGATGGCGGGGGAGGTTGGCATGTGAAAGCATGGGGTCTAGCGTCACATGCCGGATAGAAAGCCCAGACCAGGACCAGGTGACCTCTGGCATCAAGCCATGTCGATTTAATCAACAGCGAACCTTGGCCGGTCGCTCTCAGCGCAGACATAGTGCGATGACGGCCATCATCAAAAGCCGTTGCAAATGCCTAGAGCGTTGTTGCGGTGTGCACAGTGTTGCGTGCGTTGGCTGGCGGGTTCGTCGGAGGTGCCACAAGACGGAGCTCTATCGGCGTCTGGGCCACGGCACTTGGAGCTGTAGCGAAGCGAGCTTCTGATTGGCGCTGTTAACTGCGTCAAAGTAGGTACATCTGATGTGCGAAACAGAACCGGGGGTTTTCATCCAGGCTTTGGAGGGTGCTCGGCGTCGTAATCCCGTGGAGCCAGGTTATTTGTGAGGGTGAATGGGCTATGAAAGAAACTGCCTGTGATTACAGCGTGTGCAGAGTGCTGCTGCAGACATGTGGTGTAAGTTGGTGTCAACTTGCATGAGATGGGATGATCTTCAACCGTTCCTGTCAGGGCGTCCCGCAGCGTGCACTCGCTGCACTGGGTTCTGGGGAAATCTCCGGAGAAAGACGGATGATACGGACTAGAACGAAAATGAAGAAAAGGCAAAACATCAAGTGAACCATGTGTCGAGGCATCTTCGAGTCGTGCCGTGGCCGTTGGGCGGCAGAGAGAGTCAGTCATGGGGGGCGGCGCTGCTCCCGAGACCTCGGCCCATCCGCAACAGTGACCTCACAGCTCGAGCTTGGGGAAGCCGGCTGCGGGAGGATAAGAGAGGGCGCATTCCCCCGCGGCGGGCCCTGCAGCAGTTTACAGCAGCAGCACTATCAGTGTGATCGGACTTGTCCCGTCATTGAACAATCCCGTTTTACCTGCACACGCACTTTGTAGAAAACGATTCCCGATAGTCCCCCGACACTTCGCCGATTCCTGCCTCTGCCCAGCCGGCATCTCACTCTTCGGTGTCCCTTGCCCTTCCACTGCGTATCAACCCGCTATCGGATATTATCGTCAAACACAGACAGACTGATTCTCCTCCGCGGGTTTCTTCTCCCTCTCACTGTGTCCAGCCAGCCAGCCAGCCCCCCCCCCCCCCCCCCCCCCGAATCCGCAAAATCAAGCCAGCCAAGACAAAGACAGCCCACAACCGCCGGCTGTCCGCGCCCGTTTCGAGTAACAGGTTACGAAATAGCTGCCCGCAGGCTGTGGATACCTCTTACTGTGTATTACCCTCGCCGCCGCATCACCTGGCCGTACCTGGTTTTTTTTTTTTCTTTCTCAGTCCTCCTGGAATTCCAATCCCGTAAGCCTGTAAGGTAGGTAACTAGGGCCCCCGTTCCCCGATCGTCCGAGCAGCCCCCGTAACGAGGCCACCCCGTTGTGCGTCTGTGTCTGTGTCTGCCTGCCCTGCCTGTTTTGTTTGGTCCTGCATCAGCCAAACCAAACAGTGCCTATTTTCTGCAGCTCTTTTTCGGGCTGTAACCGCACCTGCAACGCAACTGTCTGCAACGGTCTGTAACTGACTACCCTACCTTAGGTGCTTAGCTACCTTCTTTGAGTATCCGTACGCCTCTTCAGCAACCAACCACCTTACTACGCAGTACTGCAAACCTGCAACACTCGGCGAGACACCGCGTGCAGTCCCAAGGTGAGCACCCAGCAAAGTACCTCCTTTATCTGGGAGGAAGTCCTCTCACATCGTCATCCCCGCCCCCGTGGTACATCTCTTACCTCACCATCCCACCTCGTCCCCGGGTACTTGCACAGGTTCCCCTAGCCAATCCTTGGATTGTGCAGTAGCTTCCCCCGGCCTGCAACAAGCTGCCCGCTGCCATGGAGGCGCATGTCCGCTTCCACCTCCCTTTCTTTCTAGTATACTTGGTCACTCCCTATGTCCCGTCCTTTTCCCCGGTTGGCGCCTGTAATCGCAAAGCCTCCCATTCGCCCGTCTAAATCGTACCACTTCCTGATGCCATAATAATAACAACGACCCCAGGCGACCCTTCCCTCTGACTCGTTCCATCTCACGAAAGGTCCGACACCACTGAAAATGCCGGGTGACTCCTCGTCGTCTTCTTCTGCATTTTCTCTCTCTGCTTCCTCATCCTCATCCTCCTCCTCTCCTCAGACAAACTCTACCCTTTCGAGAATACGCAACATCGCACAGCACATCATGGCGCCCGTATCAACGACAAACTTCCCCGCCAGCACGGTGCCCCAAGCTCCCGAGGACCCCCTCTTCGGCTTGATGGCCGCCTACAGGGCCGACCAGAGCAAGGACAAGGTCGACTTGGGCATTGGAGCTTACCGCGATGACAACGCGAAGCCTTGGGTCCTGCCCGTCGTCAAGAAGGTGCGTTCCTCTCTACTGCCGCTTCTCACAGCTTCTCAACCCGTTTCCGTGGCATTTTTCTGTCGTCACGAACCCTCCGGCCCACCCGCAGAAAAGCTCAGCTGCGTCACCCGGCAGCCGCAAACCGGCTGATGCGATGGGTGCACCACCTATTTTTGACGAGATTTCCCCTCATGCCGCCTCCACTTCCCTTCCTTCCTGAGCCCCTACCTAAGCCCCTAACGTGAACCCACCCCCGCTGACCCCGCCATGATGCAACTGCACAGGCCGACGAGATCCTCCGCAACGACCCTGAACTCAACCACGAATATGCCCCCATCGCCGGTATCGTCAGCTTCACCTCGAAGGCCAACGAGCTGATGCTCGGCGCCGACTCGCCCGCCATCCGCGAGAAGCGCACCACCTCCGTCCAGACCATCTCCGGCACCGGTGCCGTCCATCTCGGCGCCCTCTTCCTCGCCAAGTTCTACAAGGGCAACCGCACCGTCTACATCTCCAACCCGACATGGGCGAACCACAACCAGATCTTTGGCAATGTCGGCCTCCCCATCGCCCAGTACCCCTACTTCTCCAAGCAGACAAAGGGCCTCGACTTTGAGGGCATGAAGGCCGCCATCTCCGCCGCTCCCGACCGCTCCATTATCCTCCTCCACGCCTGCGCCCACAACCCCACGGGCGTCGACCCGACTCAGGAGCAGTGGAAGGAGATCGCCGCCCTCCTGCGCCAGAAGAACCACTTCCCCTTCTTCGACTGCGCCTACCAGGGCTTCGCCTCCGGCAACCTCGCCCGCGACGCCTGGGCCGTCCGCTACTTCATCGAGCAGGGCTTCGAGCTCCTCATCGCCCAGTCCTTCGCCAAGAACTTTGGCCTCTACGGCGAGCGCGCCGGCTGCTTCCACTTCGTCACCGCCCCGGCTTCCGACGCCGCCGACACCACCTCCCGCATCGCCTCCCAGCTTGCCATCCTGCAGCGCTCCGAGATCTCCAACCCCCCGCTGTACGGTGCCCGCGTCGCCAGCACCGTCCTCAACGACCCCGCCCTGTTCGCCGAGTGGGAGGACAACCTGCGCACCATGTCCGGCCGCATCATCGAGATGCGCAAGGTCCTGCGTGCCAAGCTCGAGGAGCTCGGCACCCCGGGCACCTGGAACCACATCACCGACCAGATCGGCATGTTCAGCTTCACCGGTCTCAGCGAGGCCCAGGTCTTGAAGCTGCGCGAGGACGCCCACGTCTACATGACCAAGAACGGCCGCATCAGCATGGCCGGTCTCAACACGAGGAATGTCGAGTACTTTGCCAAGGCCGTTGACAAGGTCGTTCGCGAGTCGCAGTAGACGATTATGTGCGTGGCATGCCAATTGGGACCCGGGCTGTAAAGGCGGCCCGAGGATTGGGAGGAGCTTTTTTTAAAGACTTTACATGACTGTCTGATGAACAGATTGACGGCCGAAGGGACATGCGGCAGGAAATGGAAAAAAAGAGAATAGATTTCCCAGCTCTGGAGTATTCAAGCATCACGTCTTTTTCACTGCGTCACTTTGGCATATGTGACATGCTACGGGCTTACCTTTACTTTGGTTCAGTGTTGAATTTGCCATGATACATCTAATCACCCCTGCCTGGCGTAGACGTCGTCAAGTTTGCCAATTGTGGCCCAGCCATAACCGCAAATAAGGTTCCTGGACTTGTGTACAGACTAGAACATGACCGCACGCTTCTTGCCTGTGATGCTGAAAATCCCAGAATGCGGCCCCGATCGTGGGGTTGCTCTCGTAGTCATGTCGTTCGTCAAAAAGCTGGGCATGTGACCATATGCCGGCACATTTGCTCCAACGAAGCTAAATGCCAACGCCGGACCCAACTTTTTCGACACGTCGCATCGTGGAGCTGTCTCCTGGCGAAAATGTAGTGGTTATGATCTACGTTGAAGGCCTCCACGGGAAGCTGCGTCTTCGAGACTGGTCGGCTGGTTAGCATCCCAGTTCTCGGCTTCAGCAACTTGCGAGTCGAAAGTCGATCGAAAGATGCCTGCTCAGCTGCATGCTGCATCTGTAAGTTCTGATGCAGCTTCCTCCCTCTCTCTGAAAGCTCTCAGGCGAGAGATCTGCGAGGAAAATGGCCTTTTCTTCGCTGCTTTGTGTGTTTTCCTCCCGGCAGGTAGAGCGACGTAGGATGTTATAAGTTTAGCTGGTATTGCGCGTGCTGCTGCTGCAATCGAATATTCAAGAAGAATTGTGGCCCGGTTCTGGAAGAATCAGCCGGTAAGCTTCTTCAGAGCTGAGCCGTCAGGGTTGTTGCCCGGTGTAAGTGAGAGCCGGGATGGTGATTGGCCGGTTCGGTCTCGATGGTGCGCCTTTGGCCAAATGTCTGTGTTTTTGTTTTTCTTTTCCTTTTCATCCAGTTTCCAACCAATCCTCACCTTTCCCTAGCAAAAGGTTTTCGACGTATGCAGTCTCTGACAGCATGATCGTCGACCTCGACACAACAGCAGTCGCAGTCCGCAATACGCTCATTCGGTTCGTCCCAAGGTATATCGAGTCAATTGTCTAGTTTTCGTCTCGTAAGTGGCGTTCATGGTCGAATCCTCCTTCTCTTCCATTCCTTGGCGGACGGGTGGTCCTGGGTGAGAGGAAAGGGGCATGGGAGGACATCGGGTGAGAAGTTCAGGGACGACGTCCCGGTTATCTACCCCGAAGGGCGAAGGAATCCCCCCACGGCAATCGGCCCTTCTCTCGGGTGTTTACGGCTAACGGTATGCCCCATGCCGGCAGACGGGAGTGGCTGCGCACCCCTGCTGGTGTAGGTTTTGTGGGGTGTGCCTCCGTGATTTCACGATGCGGCGGTGGTTTGTTTGTCCCCTCTGTGATAAAGTGTGGTTGACGCGGAAAGTATTGGCCGGGGCATGTCTGCTATTCCGCTATTCCGCCGGACTTTGGTTGAGGTGGGAGAGAAGAGGGACCGTTGGAATTGGTGGACGAGTCAAAGATTGCTATGGTGTGTGCCATTGGGAATGCGGAACTGTCCTCCCCCACAAGGCAATATCTCTTTCCTGGTGGTTATGCCTGCCGGGGGAAAGATGACTGGAGGATCTGTCTGGCTTTGCTGCCGGGGTGGTGTGGTAGTTTTTGGCGTTGGGGAAAATTGGAGGTTGCCTATTCCCCTAGCCGGGCGACACACCCTGCGATGTTCATCCCGTCTTTGGACAGTCGTGCTCTATGGAGTAGAGCCATAATGCCTCCTTTAATGGTTTTGGTCCTTGAACTAGAATTACTACCATCCGTTCTCTGTAGTGTATGGAGAAAACCGAAAAGCAAAGAAGGCGCCATGCTTTCCCGTCCTCGTGTTGAAGCTCTCATGGTAAGGTTACATCTCCGCCGTTCCGTCTAACCATTCTCCCGGGATAGCTTCCAGCAACGCCGGCCGTCTTGGGTCCATCATTCCTCCATGCAGAGTAATTGATCAGAGTAGGCCTCACCTGACAACGCAATGGGCCAGCATGCCGCTTCAATCACCATCTTGGCATGCCTCGCCCATTTGAGGCACAGCCAAAATTGTGAACAAATCCCAAAAAGAAAGTGTTGATCCCCCGCAGCCCTTGCCCCTACCGCCTCAGCTAGATGAGCTGTGCCGCGAGGAGGCGCTCTCGGCAGAGGTCCGCATGAGCATGCCTGCATTCTCAACACCCCCGATCACCTTGCTCTTTTCGTATGCATGTTCGGACTCGTGTAAGCGCCATGCCGCCATTCTGACATGGAGGTTTCGATACAACACTGGACAGAGGTCGCACATTTGAGAGTCACTAGCCCTGTTCCAAAATCAGATTTGCCAGAACACCGCCTGAGAACGGATGAATCCTTTTTAACCTGCCAGAAACATGTTAGCAAGCATTGCGGGAGGTGGTAAGACAGAAGCCCGGCTTCCAACTCGGACTTCCGCCAGAACCTCGAGTCTGATTCGCTCGAGTTTCGTCCCGAATCACCGAATACGGCCATCGTCCCTGTTATTGCCAAGCAACCCTCGTCTAAACCAACATCGACGTTGAGCCATTCCCCATATCCAAAGTTGGAGCTAGCCCGTTGCTTCGTCGTTCCCCCTCACGGTTCACCAAACAAGATGCGGAGTTACCGCCCTTCACCCACCCATATTTTAAGCACAAACCATCCAACATCTGGCCATGTGAGCGCTGCCCATGGGGGAGAAACCCGTGTAACCATGTGTGGGGGAGAATAGCTCCCCCCCCTTTTCTTCCCCGCAGTCTTATTCTGAGTGGCTCCTTTGAAACCTGGAGTCGGAGGACCGCCGCTTGCGTTCCCTGGTCCCCCTGTCAAAAAAGCAACTGAATGGAGACTTGAGATGCACCGCGCCGCCATCTGACTGGATGGATAAATGCAAACACCCCGGCCTCTTGGCACCATCCGGCTCTTTTGCAATGTTCAAATTTCATTTCGGGCCTTCAACCACCTGGGCGTCGCTTTGCACTCCCGTCCTCCCGCCTTAGCATGCCCTCCCTCGGGACTATTCCAAACCACACCCAACCAACCAACCACCCCCATGCCCGGTACTCAGTGTTGTTGCGTCTGCTTTTGGAGAAGCAGGCCAGACGGGAATCCGAGCATGGGGTAACACTGGCGGATGTAGTGGCATATAAAGACGGACGGGGTGGGACCTCGTCGAGCAGACGCGTTGGTATTGGAAATTGGATCGAGGAAGTTTGCGCACTGGTATCCGTAGCCTGCACAAACCCCAGGCCTTGGACTCGGTAGCATATACTCCCGTCTTGTATGAAAGCGGATATAACCTCTCTATCGAGCCCATCTCCCTCTCTCTCCATTTTGTTGTCCCCAACCGTCCGCGATACTCCCGTCGTTTCTGCCTCGTCCGCCTTTTCGGACTCTGACTCACCGAAGTTAAGAAACATCCAAGCCTGCGAGGTCTTGACCAGCGACAATGGTTGCCATCAAGCGCGCCCAGGAGACCGGGGCCGCGGACCCCATCCTGACCCGCATCTCGGAGGAGGACAAGGTGCCGTGGTACCGGAAGCCGAACCTGCGATACCTCTACCTGATGCTCTTCCCGACGTGCATGGGCATCGAGCTGACGTCCGGCTTCGACTCGCAAATGATCAATGCGCTGCAGATCGTCGAGCCCTGGAAGGATTGTGAGTAGTCGCACGGAAGAGGAGAGCTAGGGAAGCATCGCCGAGACTGACTGTGCCTGCTAGATTTCGGGAACCCGGAGGGTAGTTTGAAGGGCATCATCGCGGCTGCGTACTCGCTGGGAGCGATCCTGTCGCTTCCCTTTATCCCTATCGTCAACGACAAGTTTGGACGACGATGGTCCATCTTTGGCGGGAGCTGTATCATGATCCTGGGAGCTCTGATCCAAGGATTCTCGCAGCATGGTGTGTAAATTACACCGCATTTACTGATCGTGGTAGCTGATACTCCAACAGTCGGCATGTACATCGTCGCCCGCATGATTCTCGGCTTTGGTATCCCGACCTGTATTGTCTCTGGCTCATCTTTGATTGGTGAACTCGGATACCCCAAGGAACGTCCAGTTCTCACCTCTCTGTAAGCCACTCTCGCATTCGGACACCTCCAGAATGCAGCTGACAGCTCTACAGCTTCAACGTTGCCTACTTTGTTGGCCAAATCACAGCAGCGGCCATCTGCTTCGGCACCAACAACATCGCGAGCAACTGGTCCTGGCGCATCCCGTCGCTGCTCCAGATCTGCCCTTCTCTCCTGCAAATCAGCTTTGTCTTGTAAGCCAACCACATTACCTCCCTTCTCCCCATCCCCAGTGACAACACCTAACGTTGAGCGCCCCAGCTTCCTTCCCGAGAGCCCCAGATGGCTCATCACCCAGGACCGCACCGAAGAAGCCAACGCGATCCTCGTAAAGTACCACGCCGAGGGCGACCCCAACTCCGAGTTCGTCAAGGCGGAGATCGCCCAGATGAAGACCGTCATCACCCTCGAGATGGAGGCCTCCAAGCAATCCTGGATGGACCTCCTTCGCACCGCTGGCATGCGCCGCCGCTGCCTCATCACCTCCATGCTCGGCCTCTTCACTCAATGGAGCGGAAACACTCTCATCTCATACTACTTAGGTACTGCTCTCCCAAAACATCCCGTGGCGGCTTTCAGCGTGTCGTTTCCTAACTACCTTTCCAGGCGACCTCCTCGGCATGATCGGCATGAACGACTCCCTCACCAAGCAGAAGATCAACGTCGGCATCGCCTGCTGGTCCCTCGTCTGCGGCGTCACCGTCGCGCTGCTCGTGCGCCGCTTCCGCCGCCGCGTCATGTACCTCGCCTGCACCATCTCGCTGCTGCTGTGCTACATCTCGTGGACCATCTCCATGGAGCGCGCCGTGCACGCCCTCGACAACGACTACAAGAACCAGTCCGCCTCCATCGCGACCATCTTCTTCATCTTCATGTACTCGCCCTGCTACAACATCGGCTACAACGCGCTCACGTACACCTACCTCGTCGAGCTGTGGCCGTACGCGCTGCGCTCGCGCGGCATCTCCTTCTTCCAGCTCTTCGGCCGCATGGCCGGCTTCTTCACCACCTTTGTCAACCCCATCGGCATCAAGAACGCGAGCTGGCGGTATCTGATCAGCTACTGCTGCTGGCTCGCGTTCGAGGTCGTGTTTGTGTACTTCATGTTCCCCGAGACGGCGGGGCGCACGCTCGAGGAGCTGGCTTTCTGTGAGTTTCAGTGTGTGATGAGTGTGATGAAGATGACGTGGCTGACCGTTCGCTCCCAGTGTTTGAGGACAAGGCTCTTGCTGAGCAGGCCAACGGTGCTGTTGAGAAGGTTATTCACCACGAGGACATGGAGCCGATTGGTGATTGTAAGACGGCGACTGGTCAGGCTGAGGCTGTGGAGGATGTCACAAACAAGTCTAGGGTCTAATTAAGTGGCTTCACAAAATAACGGTTCTCAACAAGCGAAGGAGGCAGCATGTGTATAGGTTGATAATAGCTACAAATAATTGAGTCATTGACTTACGAGAAGCATTCTTGCTCGTTCGGTGTACACACGTGAGGATGTCAGACGGACTCACGAAACTTACGAATCTCGTTCGGACATCCAGTTATGTGGACGGCCTCTTGGAGGTACCTATGGAACGTACTCTTTTCAGTGAATTGAGGCGAGCTGCATGATTCTTTGGCCCTTCGGATATGCTTAGATTAGAGACCACTGTCTGGCATGCCGACATCAATACTTCTCCGTGGCGGGGCTGCGTTCGGGGAGGTGGGGCCGTAGATTCGGAGCCGGCTGCGACATCAACCATGAGTTCCGCTCGGCGAGCTCGAGCAGAAGGAGCTCGGGACAAGGCACGTCACATTAAGCACAGCTATACTCAGTAAGAGTTGCGCAAAGACAATTGATTAGAAGAAGGAAATAAAGTCTTGGTTGGCGTGGCATGGTCATCACGGGGGCAAAAAGCATCATCCAATGCATACTAGGTAGGTTCTCAACAGGCAACAAAAAAAGACATCTCTCTCGCCCGGAATCGAACCAGGGGCGCCACCGCGACAAGGAGGCATGTTACCATTACACCACGAGAGACTTCATTGCTTGTTGTTGAAAGTTTAGACGACCAGAGAAGACTATGTAGGCAGGCTTGGGGAGTGACTCATTGTGGCAAGTGAAGGACCACAAGGTAGGTCATGATTGCTGCCTTCCAGTCTTGTTCGGTAAGCTTACATGTACAATCTACCTCTTGGCTCTTATAAATTTGAACCTCGCTGAGTTACTGTTCAGAAACGTGAGGGTGGTCTCGAAGTTTGCATAACAATCTGCGGGTTGCTTTCTGTACAGATTAATCAATCCAGACGCGATTCCGAATGATCAACGCACCAAAAGCTTAAATCTCCTAAAGATGGCTCTGTGATGTTTGATTATCGTGAGATACAAGCACAGATATAGAGATTAAGCATATGCAACTCACATTCCGAGCTTAAACGTTAAGAGATTTCGCAAAGTGAATAAAACTGCTGTTCTAGACCGTATACATTCAGTGAATAATACATTTACTCAATATGATCTTTTGGCAAATGAAAGTTCATCGGCCCCAACAGCCGAGCTCATGAGACGCAGGTGCAAAAAGGAATTTCTCTCCCGCCCGGAATCGAACCAGGGGCGCGTCCGCGACAAGAACGCATGTTTCCACTACACCACGAGAGACTGTTATTTCTTGCTGTTGGGATTAAGGCCAAAAGATAGGTCTATGTAGTGAGTCAAGGTTACCAGAGGAAACGAAGGGACGTAAAGGTTGGTCGTCATGGTTGCCTTCGGGGTCTGACTCACACGGCAAGCTACATCGAAGCCAGCCAGCATCAGAGCAAGTCACACCAGGCGCGGCACAGGCAGTTCTAAGATACCTTCAGATTTGTCAAAATAGAAGAGGTGTCTGAAATAGCAGAAGTTAGCATGATTCATCTGGTAGGTAGGTGGTAGTACATAAATTGGTGGACTTGGCGTTTGACGATGCGGCCCACAGAGCCAACTCCGCACATTCTTACAAATCAGCGGCGGACTTTCACTTGGTACCAGATTAGCAGTAAGAAGTACTGCGGAAATAGTCCTTGATAGATCATACGGTCTATCATGGACTTCGTATTTCGCTTTCGCTTTCGCTTTCGCTTGTACGAATCAGTTGCGGACTTGTATCCGTCGCTCAGTTCAATTAGCGTTGATAGTCTGTCAACACCCAGCGACTTATAAGTACTCACAGCTTCAACTGTAATCAATTTTTTGATTGAGTTATTATCGACTTGGTATCGGAAACTGAGAAGTATTCTTCACATTTTTGACGAATCTGCTATTGACATTCCGCAGCCAATATGAAGGTTGCTATCGTAGGCGGATCAGGGGAGACGGGCACCTCCATCATCAACGCTCTTTTTGAGTCTGACATCCTAGACTTGGTATCATGCCTCCCGTTCCAGACTTACAGCTGTCCCTGAGACTTAATACTTCTGGAACCAGGAAATCATCGCCCTTACCCGACCCGCTTCCGTCAAGAAACCCAACGTTGTCGCCCTCGAGAAGAGGGGAGTTGCTATCGCCAGTGTTGATCTGGAGGGTCCACAAGCCGAGCTTGTCAACGTCCTCAAGGACGTCGACGTCCTGATCTCGACTGTCCACGTCAGCGGACTGGGAAGCCAGATCCCCCTCGCCAATGCCGCCAAGGCCGCCGGCGTGAAGCGATTTGTTCCCTGCTTCTTCGCCACCGTCGCGCCTCCCAAGGGCGTGTTAACACTGCGCAAGCTGGTAAGGAGTTTCTAGCAGAACGCAAATCCCGAAGTCTGCGCTAACTCTTGTGTCTGGCATAGAAAGAAGAGGCTCTTCTCCACGCAAAGAAAATTTCCCTCCCCTACACAGTCATTGACGTCGGCTGGTGGTACCAACTCAGCATCCCACGCCTCCCCTCTGGGCGTATCGACTCTGCTACGCCCTTGCCGGTCAACTTCATCGCCGGAGATGGCCACACTCCCACTGCGCTAACGGACGTGAGAGACGTTGGAAAGTTCACTGCGCGCATCATCGCCGATCCTCGTACCATCAACAAAATGGTCCTCGTCTATGGCGCCGTTCTCTCCCAGAATCAGGTTTTCAACATGCTGGACAAGATGAGTGGCGAAACTACCAAGCGGGACTACGTGAGTGTTTATCGACAGTTTATCTACAGCGATTCGCGAATTGGATATGGCCCACTTTGGCTGACCTGCTTTTATTTCCCAGATGTCTGCTGAGGCTATGGAGGCCGCCCTCACCGAATCTTTGACAGCAGGCGCCCTTATGGAAAATGCATTTGATCACAGGATGAAGATCTTCTATGAGTACTGGTACTCGATGAGCGTGCGCGGAGATAACACGCCGCAATATGCCGAGTTCCTCGGGTATATTGATGGCACTAAGCTGTACTCAGATTTTAAGCCTACTACCTTCGAGGCCTTCCTGAAGGAAGTTCTTGACGGGAAGTCGGTGACGATCTATGAAAGTCTCAAGCATGACTTAGAAAAGGAGGCCAAGAAGCTCTAGACTTGACTATCTTACACAATCTGATGTAAGGTATGTACTGTACTAAGATGAGCATTGGCGTCCGCCTTTAGGGTAACTATCCTATGCAACAAGAGCATTTTTACCCAAGCGCACAAGGAAGGAAATTTGAATTCAGGTATTTTGCCCAAAGCTCAAGTGCGTAAGAAAACAGTTACCCCCATCAGTCAAACCCTTCGGGTGAAGACAAACTAGACAGTGATCTCTCGTACGGGATTTGAAGCATGGCATGTGCCAACTTCCAAGCAACTTCGCGAGTATTCAGTTGATGACGAGCCTCACCAGGGGCTCTTCCCAATAACAATCCAGCATTTCTCATCAAACTTTCACGAATTACCCCTAACTTCTCCTTGATCCGAACATCGCTGTCATTTGAGTAAGTGGCACCATCCTCTTCGACCTCACTCACAGATTCAGATGTAACTATGACATAGGCTGGTACACCGTCAGTCTTGGTATCGGTATCGTCGTCAGAGGCCGAGTATTGACGGACTAATCCTTCAAAGAACGCGTCCGTCAGTCGGCCGTCCGAGTCAAAGTGGTGTTGGTCCTGGGAAGAAAGCTTCCTGTAAGGCAGGATCTCGAGGAAATGATGCCCGTTGCAAGTAGGCTTGTTTGGTTCGCTTCGGGGATTGAACCGGTGATAAATTTTGGATAGTTCGGCGTGAATGTTGTTGAGATGCTGGGCTTGAGCGGCCTGTAGTTCGCTCCCCTCTTGTGGATCGAGCCACTTCAACGTCCGTACACAATCAAGGAGGTCAACAAAACGCCAACCAGGTGGCTTCAATGGTCCCCACTTTGTTCGCAACTTGCAACGCTTTGCCCACCGCAAATAACCCTTCGTCTTTGCGTCTATCCAGTCGTCGGCGAAGCTCCCTAGTAACCAAAAACAAGTTGGAAGTGTCTCGGCACCATAAGTGCGGAACACTTCTGCTACTCGAAGAACTGGAAATATTTCACGTTCCAGTCTCCATAACCTTCGAACTTGCTCTGGTATCGTTTTCGGTGGCGTAGAAGAACAATAGTCCTTATAGCAAGTCCGGCATAAATCCAAATCTTCACAAACCGCACACTGATAGGAAGGTATCAGTACGGGTTCGGAGCAGAAATCACATTCAAGACGCCCTTTCCAATGTCGCTCTTTCAGCTCAATCTTGCAGAGACGAGCTTGCTCGATACTGGACCGGGTGTTTAGTAGGAGCAATGCCATTGATAGTTCGACTAGCGCCTGGTGTCTTTCAACGTCTTTGTTATTATGGCTGGTATTCTGGGCAACCTCGACGACGAAGCGTTTTTTGGCTTGAATGTGAAGAGTTGAACTCAGCGAAGATAGATCGTCTTTCCGGGAACTAAACAACTCTCGTAGATGTGGATATTTGGCTGCATAATCCATTGCGCAGTTTCCGAAAACGTCTCTGATCGTTGGATCAGCGCCATGGGCGAGCAAAATGGCGGCTGTTTGCTTTCGTCGATACAAGATCGCATGAATTAGCGAATCTCTTCCCAACCTCCTGGTCCAATCGTAATCCATGTTTCGTATTTTAGCGCCTTGTGAGACTGCCTTGCTGATGAAATCTGTGTACCCATATTGTGCGGCCATTGAAAGAGGACTGATCACACTCTGTTCCAGGCCATCGATCGGTATTCCCAGTTCGAGGAGAATGTCGATCATGTTGGCGTGGCCAACATTCGCGGCATGAGACATGGCGTCCCATCCACGCACATCGAACGTAAGTTCTTCTTCATTGCCATAAGTGGTCAGGAGTTCTTTATGGACGTGATTCGAAAACCGTTTGAGAAGGTCTTCGTCTCCAGAGCGCGCCGCAAGGCGGAATAGGGTGACACCATTTACACATATGTCCTCTGCATTCTGATCCGCATTATTTTCCAGCAAAAGGTTCGCAACTTTAAAATAGCGTTCATTGAGAGCAATGAAGATGGGGGGCATCCACCCGTCTGTGGTGTTGACATCGGCACCTTGCTCAATCAAGTATTTTACCACGTCATGGTGGCCATCCCTGCAGGCGAGCCACAAAGGTGTTGCTCTGTCGGCATCCTGGCAATTGATTGTCTCGGAAGTGATAAGCTCTGCCACACAGCATTTATTTCCAGACAGAGCAGCCATATGCACCGGAAGTCGACATTTGAAATCTTTGACGTTGCGGTTGGAAGGGTCCGATGCTGATAAGAGTTTGACGACATGTGCGGCGCCCTCCCGAGCCGCCAAATGGAGGGGCGTCCAGCCATCAATACTAACACCTGTTACATTAGAGTGAGGTGCTAGTTTCATTAGAGAGGAAATGAACCTATGATGATTATTCGCAGCTGCAACGTGGAAAGGTGTGAATCCCCTCTTGTCTTTTGCCTCTGCGCATATTATTTGGCTTGGAAAGAACCGCAGCAGATCATCCAGACCCCTCTCCGCAGCGTAATGAAGTGCTGTCTTTCTGTGATGCCCAGGCTGATCCGGGACACTTTGATAGTCATTCAGTAGTAACTTGGCTACTTCCAAGCATTTTTGGTTGATGGCAACTTGTAAGGGTGTAGAATAGCTGACATTGACCACATCCGAACGAGCACCTGACTGAAGAAGTATCTTGGCTGATTCTGATTGACTTTTGTAGAGCGCCGCAAGTAGTGGGGTATCTCTGTTCTGATCCACGGCGTTCAAAAGGCCCCTTTGAACTGCTAGCAAAGGTCTAATGAGGGAGTGATGCCCACGTTTTGCCGCTACGTGGAGTACAGTTGATTTATCATTCGGATTGAAGGCTGAAATGTTGGCACCGTTCTGAATAAGGCACTCAAGGACGTTGAGATGACCCATGTAACAGGCGATGAACGTCGCCGTGTCTCCGAAGGATGTCTGCCTTTCCACACTGGCCCCACGTTGAATCAGAAGATGGACCATGTCCGTCATGTTTGCTCGGACAGCGCAGTGCAGTGCAGTCTGTCCAAAGAATAGCGAATTGCGTGAGCAGGTTGCATCGATGTCGGCGCCGTGGTCCAAAAGGCTGCGCGCTGCGTCGGTAAGTCCAAGTCCAGCGGCGTGGTGCAGTGCAGTCATGCCGCTTTTGCCGGGTTGTCTTGTATCAGCTCCAGCTTTCAGCAATATCTCCACTCCCTCAGAGTTCATGTGAAGCGCTGCCAAAGCGAGAGGAGTTTGCAAGTCGTTAGATTTGCCGTTAGTGTAGCCTCCTAATCTCAAGAGGCAACTCAGAGCACTGTTCGCTGAAGTCCTCACAGCTGCATGAACTGGAGACTCTCCTGAAAGGTCACGGGCCTTAACATCGAACCCCATTGACACCAAGTCCTCCACTATGTCGTCCCAATTCTCCTCTGCAACGCTGTGCAGCAACCAAGTCTTGCAAGACTCGAGAATCTCGATGCTTGGATGATGGTCGTTCTTGAAGTTTCTCAGATGTTCGTCCAAAAGCCACCTTGTTGTTCTTCTATGACGATATAAAACCGCGTATTCAATTGGTACATGGCTGAAATCGTCTCGGCTTGTGAGATGTGATCTGATGGCTGGCATCTTAGCGGCGACCTCGGCGAGATTGAAGATCGCAAGGATGTGGAGGGCTGTAGGCTTTCTCATATTCCAAAACCCGTCTTGGAATGCGCGGGACTCCAGTATTTGGATCGAGAGTCTAATCGCGGCTTCCTTAGTTAAGAACCGTCCTAAGAGTGTATTGAGATCCTCGGCCCTTGCTTCATCTTTGTCCAGGAAGTGGTGACCCCAGAAGCATGTGGCATAGTCCAACAAAGGATATCGAGTCTTCAGGCCAGATAGTTGTTGTGGAGATTGGACCAGAAGGGTATTGAAATCTTCGAAGCTTATGTATGTAAGACATGTCTCAGCCATGATTGCGTGCGCCTGCTGCTGAAGGCACTATAAGAGAGAAGTGTGGGCAGCTGCGAGGAGAGAAAGTCTTTCAAGGAGGCATGTCGAAGTTGATATACCCCGTTGATCTCATTAATCAGGTCAGCACACTCTGTGCTAATGGATATTCCTTGCGGGAGCCTCTGAGATTGGTTGATCCCCATTCGCCCCGGCTTCATGGACAGTGCTTCCAGTAATTCAGCCTTGGAAAGCGACCGATATGAGTTAGTAACCCATAAAAGGGCTCTCAGAGCTCGATCCCGGACAAATCGCGAAGGATGGCTCATGATCTTTCCAATTTCCTCGCCGTAAAGGTCATCAAGGCCTTCTTTAGTATCGTTGAGGGCGTCTTTGATATCCTCGACACATCCAATTTCTTTGAAGTGCTTTGCTTTAAAGTGAACCCACAGAAAGATTCCACCTGAATTGTTGAACATCAATGTTTTGATTGTTTCAAATTCAACACGTTCCTCTGAAGATGGGCTCGTGTTGATGCCGTCAACTTTCTGCGATATGTAGGCTTTTATGTCGCCATCATTTACACCGTTTCCCATCTGGATCTGCGGGTAAATGGAAAAGGCGCTTTCGACATCTTTGTACTCGGGGCGGCTTAGAACAAGAATGCGTGCTGAGACCCCCGCATCTTTGATCTCAGCTAGACTGGCGAGAAAGGTGCATAGATCCTCGAACTGATGATCCGGAAAGTGGCTGCACTCATCTAGGCCATCAATGACGATGTGAGATGAACGCAATTGACAAACAACCGTCCTGATTCCCTCTTTCATTTCACTCCTCTGCGGTTCTTCCTTGCTGCTGTTATCTGAGCGTGAAAGCAATATTTCAATGCTCTCTGTTATAGGAAGCTGTTTATACAACTGCCCAAGAATGGCTCCAAGGACATTGTTCATCGTCATTCTTGTCTTGGTTTGAGTGGTGGTACAATACGCAAAAGTTACTGCAGTCTTGTCGGCCTGGGATGGTGATGGACTGAGGTCGTGGATTACTCGAGCTGCCAGATGAGACTTTCCCGAGCCAGGTTTACCATGAATCCACAGCAAAGTTGAGACGGGGCTCGCTTTCCAAGTTTGGAAATCTGCATGGTCCAAAAGCCAATCACCGGAACCAGGTACCCGACGCTCAAAATTGTTCTCCTGAATTTCTCCAAAGTCCAAAGTCGGAAGCCAGTATAAAAAGCGGCGACGTCGTTCCTCTGTGTATGATCAGCCATGAATTCATTGACAAAAAGATGGGTTTCCCTACCTTGATGCCAGCCCACTCTTGATTCTGCCCGATCAACTCTGCCTCTGTCTTCATGCTCCCGTTTCAGCATCTTTCCAATGTCATAAAGTCCAACGTGAACTGATCGCAGTTTTCGTGCATTAACCAAGTTTCTCCTCTTCTCCAGTGACGTCAAGTGCAATTTGAAGTCTGTCTTGATGTCCCCGAATCGGACTTCAAAATCTTTGCAAAGACCCTTTAGAGCAAATACCAAGCTGCTCTTTTGCCTTCCGCTATCGTCATAGAATAGCTTAGTAACCTCGATACAGAATTTGAGAATGTCTGCGGCTAAGTTGATCTCGCAAGCTTCAACTGCTACATCGCCGTCAAAAATCCTTTCGTGTCTGTAGTCATTGATAAGGTCTACCTCATCAGCCATCCATTCCAAAGTCTCCAATAATTTGCTTTGGAAGTCGTCGACGCGAGTGCTGAGCGAAAGAATGCAAGTGATGCCTCCGAGCACCAATGATGCTGGCATAGGCGTAAATTGACTGGCGCTAGTCACAATCGGAGCGATTGAATTCGAAAGTTGGTATATCGGCTTCATTTTCCGCGAAAGTCTCGAGACTTTGCTAAGATTGGAGGTGTCCTTGATCGTCTTGGCCAAGTCAGTTACGAAGCCCTCATAGCTGGTTGCGTTTGAGACCCTAAGAAATAGTGCACGGCGCTCTGGCTCAAGCTTTCCTGCTTCAGAAATCCAGAAGCTGATTGCGCCTTGTAGGTCTGTCTGTACGCAGTCATTTTCGATGTTTTTGTCTCCACAAAGGGTTTCTACGGAGTTTGATGGCGTCCGCAGGTGATCTGATGAACCTTTCGACACGTCCCAAGATATCCGTTGTCGAGGCATGGTCGGTTTCTGATGATAGATCAGACTTTGTTCTTGGCGATGGAACAAACCGCCTTGAGTTGGTGAAGAGGAGCACCGAGTATAAATGGATTGAAGAATGGAGTGAGATTAATCTGTCATCTTCGCCGGCGACCTGATCTTACCTTCAAGGGTGGCAGTGCTTCAAGCAGGCAGCGAACCAGTTATTACTCGTGGCACAGCAAAGAGGGGCTGTGACGCCCCCAGAGCTGATTCGTTCAATGCGATCCAATCATGGGAATGTCGAACATGGTGGTAGTACGGTCGAGGCCTAAGAGTAGCCAATGAGATTTTGGAGAAATCAGAAGGATTCCATATCACGATGATCCAACTGCTGAATTCCTGCAATTATAATCTTTATGGGATTAATCCACAGTGTAGAGCATACTGCCTCTAGTTCGTGACTTGTCTCGTCTGCATTTCTACCCGTTGTGAGGGACAGAATCAGTAGTGAGCCATTCTGAATCTGCGCAAGTCAAGCTCTCGAACCACATATTACTTGAGCTGAACAACGTGATAATATCGTACCACCATGACTTTTGTGTAACATTACGAAAAGCCATTGACCAACTGTTTGATATCGGTCTTGACGTGGATATGGCTTCCAAACTCGCTATCATTTTCGCTGTGCATGCTTCCGCTTCCCTCGCCTCCGACTGCCTGACTCTGCAAATCGATCTCATCATCCAACCTCAACCTGGGCCGTGTACTTCGAGTCCCTTTTGAGCCCAGTGGGTAAATAGATCCCTTGTCGCCTGAGCTGCTGGATTTCATGTTCCTGCTTCTCATGGCCCGGAGCAATGGCTTGAAGCTAGGAAGACAGGCAGAAAAGATGCCCACAGACGGCTCAACCGATGACCAAATCGCTACTGGACCCATCATCCATGTTATATCGGTCGCCGTGGAGAAGACTTTGAGATAGTGCACACGCACCGCGCTAGCTATGCAGACACTACAAAGATAGTCAGCACGGGGCGGATACCAAAGATTTTGTAACCAGTCACTTACAATCCTCCTAGTCCAAAAATGCCGCACACTGCAATTTTCTTGTCCTTGCTCATTTGAAGCTTAAGGATCTCGGGAACCGGAATCGCCAACAGTATGACATCCGTGATCAGGTTGATGATAGCCAGAATAAAGAAGAAGTGGCCGACGTCCAGACATGTGCCTGTAGTGCCCTTGAACTGAGTCCAATAGTGCGACAGTGGGTTGCAGCAGAACCCCATGGTGATCATGAAGTAGATAGGGTATGAGCCGACGAGAAAGGCTCCAATCCAAATGGAGAAGCGGAATGACAGTACGTTGCCCATGAAGACACGCCAGTAGAAGAGGAGGATCGATATCTTGGTGGATAGAACGGCGGTGCAGAAGACGAAGCTATAGATATAGAGCAGCTGTAGCTGTTAGTACGAATTCATGATTGTGACGTCTTTCGGAACTTGCCTTTGAAGTTTGGACTAGATCATCCACGCTCAGAGCCCAGACATGGCGACCAGCCCCAGCCTGGCCAACTGTAGTTTGTTGGTTCAAAATCCAAGTTTAACTACGATGGCTATGAGAGAAAACATTGGACTTACTGGCTATTACCATTCCTGCCGTTGCTGCGACAAGTACCCAAGCCACGACGATGGCGTAGTCATCGAGGCTTAGGCCAGCGCCATACTTACTGCGAGCGACCAGGCGACCGGCAACAGAAAGAGCAGCAATGACGAGAAGGACAATTACGATGGCATAGTTCTTCGTGGCCTGGCTCTCGGTCAGGTCAACGCCATCAGGAGGCGGCCCAAAGGCTGCCTCAATGAAGGGGTCTACAGCCATTGTCAACAGTGGGTACGTGAAAGGTGTAAGTTATCGAGGCTGCATGTTCAAACCTTTACCAATGACAAAAGAAAGTCATACAGGAGAGACATGCTTACATGAACGATTGGCGAATTGCACAGATTTCAACGTTCATTGGGTCGTGCCTTCGAGCCAAAGCAAAATCTCGGTGACCAGCCTAATACATGCATTTAGGTACGCGAGTGGATCGGCCAGGAACAAAACTCGCCCATGATCGCCATTCTAATTGTCTGACGAGTCATTTATGCAGCCAGAAGGAGCCCGTCTCCAAAGTTCCTCGTTTCCGGAGCAGTTTCCTACTGAAGGAAAGTGACGCGTTGCAATTCTTTAGTCGAATCCAACCAACGCAAGCGAACGAGGGCCCTCGTCACTTTGGTGGCTCTTGTGGAGCCGAACCAACGAGACGTTGGCGCTCACATCAACCAACATCGCGCAGTGAAGACAGAGCATTATTGATTGATCTGCCCTCCGGGAAGTGACCTAAGGACTACCCGAGTGGAACCCTTCAAGGGCACCTAGCTTGGCGTTGAACTCTCAGAGGAGGGCGGCCGCTGGAGGTGTATAAACAAGCTTGATGCCGTTCCATTTCATTCTCGTTACGGTGACTACGAAAGATCTTTCCCGTCTAAACGAAAACACACAAAAGAAAATCCTCGAAGCAATGGGGTCTGTGCCAGATCTCCACCTTCTCTCGGGGATCCCCCAACTTACCCCCTTGGAGCAGATCAGTCCCCGGGGGTGGGTGCGCTATCTGTTTCCATTCCAACTCCCACAGGACTACGACCCTGAAGCCATCACGGACATCTTTCGCAGAAGCCTGCAGGCCACCAGGGACCGCTTCCCGACGTTGGCGTGCGAGGCTGTTCCTGATCCTGACGCAAAACAAGCCAACGCGCTCAAACTTCAAAAGATCACCGACCACGAGATCGAGCCCATCATCATCAATGATTTGCGCCATTCAGAAACATTCACAGCCTCATTTGAGGAGCTCAAGGCTAAGCGTTTCCCAGTCTCGAGCTTCCCCGCTGAAGTTTTCACCCGCTGCCCCATTTGGCCTGCCCCTGGACAGCGGTTGCCCATTACAATTGTGCAAGCCAACTTTATCCGCGGTGGCTTGATTCTCAACTGGAATTTATTTCATCTCGTCGGTGATGTACAAGCATTCTACAACTGGATTCGCGTCTGGGCTGAGGAGACTCGCCGAGCTCAAAGTCTTGAAATCGTGGATCCCGTTCGGTATCCTGACCACATCTACACGGACCGCCAAATTGCACACGACTCGCCACAGACTCTTCCCCAAGGCAAGGCCGGCCGTCTCGAAGACCATCCAGAGTACACCATTGTCACGGATCCTGCGACGCAGCTGGCTAAGATCGCGACAACAGATGGTCATGTCGGACAGATTTTCTACCTATCGAAGAATTCGCTGGAACGACTGAAACGGGATGCCCAACCCAAGACGAATGACGGGTCTTTCGTGTCCACCAACGACGCGCTCTCAGCTTTGATCTGGCGAAGCATCATGGCAGCTCAGTTTGACATGACCCAGCTGGATGGCAGCGAAATATCTGTTTACAATATCGCCATCAACGGCCGGGGACGAAGCCAGCCGCCGATTCACCCGCAAGCCATGGGGAGCTTCCTCGGTTTCATTCAGGTTGAGCTTCCCATCAAGAAGATTCTCGAGACCGACAACATTGCGGCCTTGTCCCTCTTGATTCGCAAGGCCATCATTGCAATGGACAAGGATTTCTCGGGCTCGTTCATCAACGATGTCGTTCGGCTGGTGAATAATCAGAAGGACCTTGGCGCTCTGATCCCAACGTCATTTCTGGATGTGCCTGGCCAGAACTGCGCGCAGACGTCGTGGGAGAAGTTCAAGATGTACGATCTTGATTGGGGCCATGCGCTGGGTGGCAAGATTGCGGCTATCCGCTCACCTAGCTGTGGTTTTCTTAACGGCATGCAGATGATGTATCCTCAACACCCCGATGGTGGCCGGGAGATGCTTGTAGGTATTTATGAGGATTGCTTGGAGAAGCTTTGCAACGATCCGATCTGGACTAGATATGCCGAGCGTCGATAGCGATTTCATGGCTCGCGAAATATGATTAACAGCCCTTAAGTGATGTTCTTGAACAGAGGTTCCCGCTATGTCTTCTCAGTTTATACTACCTAGTCTTGCATAAACATCCCTGATTTACTGCCCTTTCACAATTCAGAAGAGCTTGATGAAACATCCAGTCCGCCGAACTTTCCAGCGGCATCAGAATTCGACGCCTGCGCAGGGGCATTCAGAATACCGCAAGGAAACAGTGGGCTGCTTCAGTGGGATCCACGTTTCTCAAACGAAATTGGTGGTTACGAAAAGCTGGGGAAACCTGCGGCTTCTTGGACCGGACGAATCTATTAACGCACCAATCAAGTGTACTACCAATCATCTGGAACTGGCGCCGGAGAGCGAAGCTGAAATCAGAAGGTTGTTCCACACTCCGTGTGACAGTGTGTTGGCGCTAGAGTGGACCATGAAGTTGGGACCCATTCAATTTCATGTTACGTAGTGGCAAGCCGTTGCCTTTCCGCCAAGGCCCGTAGCGTACCTTAAACTAACTGTTGTTGAGCCTGGTGGGTGGTTTAATACTTGTATTGGAGGGTGATACATACTCTTGGATATCGCTTCGTAAGCCCTAATGGCCACCTGTCTCTGAGTCTATGCAGCAGGGTAGATGGTCTCATCGCACTGGCAGTGGACTGAACCAGCATCACAGTGGACCCAACAAGTTCTCGTGTTGCTTGAGAGCAAACCCTTGTAAACCGGTGGAGAGAGGTGATAAACCCGGCCAGGGGCTGAGAGACATCACAGGCCCATTGGCGGGGGCTGTTGGGGCCACGACGATATCGGCACAGTTTCAGCCGAGACCGAGTATAGGCAGATGGACATGTCGAGGGAGAGTAACCTAGAGTAGATAGTTAGGACGACACTCACCAATATCGACACAGATTTCCAAGAACCAGAATGGGGGAGGAGGGGACAAAAGGAGTATCGTGTAGGCTATGTGCGCCTGCAGAGATCAATATTACATCCAGGAATGATATTGAATCTTCACGGTTGCAAAACTCGACAAATGGTCTCTCTTGGGCAGTCAACTCAAGACGTCAAACTTGGCTATGGAGACTGCTAACGAAGTTCCTTGAAAGAGAACGTTCGCTTCGCTGAAAGGACTTCATCAGTCGATCACGACATGAAGACGTTGCGTCGAGTCGATCTTCGGCAATGCTTGAGCTTCATGTCAAACATCCCGAGGTCGCCCGAATTATCATCCGAGTTCATTGGCCAACAGGTAAAGTAGCACTTTGTAGACAGCGACAGAACAATAATGATGACACAACAGAAGGAGAGCCACTCTAATAGGACTAGAAGACCCATATTGAGAATTTAGCCAAAGAGGAAGTTTTCGGTCGAATCACCCCCGCCCTGGGGAAGACTTACATATCTCCTAGTAGTGTTTGACGCAACTGGTGTTTGTGCAACATGCGTAGTAGTTAGATCAGAAACATATGGATGGCGTTTTCATAAGAAGACTGACGGCTACAGCATTCCCAACGCTGATTCAAGTAAGATCGAATATGAAAACTCTAGTTGGGTACCAGGGGGTGAAGATCTGAATTAGTGTGTCCATGATCATAGTGATATATTCAATTACTAATTATAATTCAACTGCGGAGCACCTTACTGTAATGTTCTATGAAGAAGGCGCAACTGTAGGTGCTCTAGACCGATGCGTAGATACCCTCGGTGCTGTGCACATGTTACATTACTACTATTTGGAGGCGCAACTGTATCAAACACCGGCAACTGCATCTTCAGCAACTCGACACGATCTCGTTACCAGAAGGTGAAATCAAACCAGCGCCACTGATCCAAATTTTGCACTGCCCATCCTCTCTGACGGGCTGTAAGCTCCTCCTGGCCTGTTCGCAGAACCTCGTGGCGTAAATGCACGCTCCATCGCTGGCAATTAATGCCAGCATGCGCGTCAGCCCATCCAAAAGGTGGACTTGAATCATCGTTCTCGTCATGTTCCAAGTGGCGCATAGCATCCTCGCGCCGATGCAACTCGTCACGTGGGTCCCCGTCTCTTTCTGCCACTTTATTAGAACCAATGCTCACAGGCAACGGTCCTGCCATGAGGAATTTAACCCGGGCAATAGTACCCATATCGGCCCCTTTAGGTTGTATCTATCTGCTCTGCTAAGGGGGTGTTGCAATTTCCAGATCAGCAGCCAGCAGAGCTCGCCCCAAGACGACCTTTCTGTGTGGCACGCCAAGATTGCGGTAAGTTGCAGCTCTCTCCTTCTGCAACTCTGTTCCCAGGCTGTCCACTATAATCCTATCCAGCCTCGCCGTTCCTCTGCAGTAAAAGAATGCCTGCTCTACCATACAGCAGATGAAGGAGTGAACATCAGACAGCTAGTAGATCTCCCAAGGTCTACAGAGACTAATGAAATCATACAGCATATTAAACCCTTCCAGTTGAGACTCGCCACCTTTGGTGATGCAGGTCAGAGCCTGATACCGCAGTGGGCTTTTACGAAACGCAAACGCTCTATAAAGCTTAGTAGATAGGCGGCGTCTGGATACATCTTGAGATCCATGAGCCTTAACGCAGCGAATTCGTTAGTGAGAAACTGCACGCTGTGATTTACGTGGCGCAGTGCTATAGCTACATCAATAGTTGCTAACGCCAAATTCTCATCGTCTCTAGGTAGTAACCTATATCTCTAAATAATCCTAATTCTCCCTCATCTCCTTAGTGTTCGATTTTAGCTAGGGCTAGAGTGGCCACAGCCAGAGCATCCCACAGCGCCAGGCCAAGACCTCAGACCAGAATGCTGAGGAAGACAGTTCGATTAGCTGGAAGAAACGCTCTGTAAATTGTAGGTGAGGCACTAATATAACGATAGCATGGAAATCTATCTTCGAGTGTGAGGCAGATAAAATCGCCTCGAGCAGCTCCATCAGTAGTGACTCATGCCTAGAGGGGAGATGTTCGGGCACTGACTGTCCTATCGTATCAATAACTCTATGCAAGCCGAGGGCGTTTTCGCTGCTATTGCGAGGTTGAATGAAAGAATCAGAGCTTTGAAGTGCAAATACGGTCGATTATTGTATTGCGGACTGTCGTATTACTCAATGGGAAGGGGGAAAACATATAAGATGGATAAAATGGCCAGAGCCCCGCAAATCAAAGCAACAGCGCGTCCACCATCATTCCCTGGACCATGCTGCCGGGCTTGGCACTCAATCGTCCAACCCAATAACGGAAAGGATTGAAGAACACAGATGGAATGACTGGCGCGCCTATAGTCTGGCCTTCGAAAGGCGCAGCGTCTAAATTAATGCAAACAGAGTGAATCCCTTGTTGTATTGTAGTTAATGAAGAAACCCTGACGGAGAATGCATAGAAGATTTCATCTGTCATAGGATTAGCTTGAACTACTAGATAAATAACCGCAAAGTGATGTGACGTGGCATTTCTACACCTATCCATCCCTCGCGGTATTTAAAAGAACGTAGCATAGGGAAGTGATTATCACCTGAATCAATCGTTCTCAAGCAAAGATGTAAATTCATAGCAAGCCTTGGATTCCATCTCCCGCTCCGTGGTAGCCTCCTGATATTTGTAGACATGAACCCACAGGTTTCTCCTGATCCTTAGGTACATCTTAAGGTGCCTCAGCCTGGGCAACTTTTCTACGTTCAGCTCTATTCAAATGGTTGTAACGATGGTCTCGCATGTAGTGATATTCTCTCAAATGACGCCGTGTATTTTCGTTATAGCTGGAAACCATATGGCAGTGAACACATACTCTAGTCCACAGCCCCTGTCTCCTTCGAGCATTCTGAAGCCTAGAGTGCGCCACTTCAGACGCAGTGCGGAGATTCGCGTCAGTAGGCGAGGCTGCTGCCGCTGCAGCTGCAGCTTGTGCTCGCGCAACGTACGTAGCCACAATCCTGGCACACTCTTGAACAGCTCGATTCTGGAGATTGGCTGGAATTGTCGCGACCAAGGCTGGAGCATTGGCGCAGAGTTGGTTGGCAGTGAGACGTGGAGGGTTGTTAGCTGGGGCAACAGGAATGGGGGCAGCAGGAGGGGCAGCAGGAGGGTCAGCAGGAGGGGGACCAGCAACGGGAACAGCAGCGGGAACATAATTCGAGTCCGGAGACGCTGATCTGTCTGTCGATTGGGAAGGGCTATCAGACGGGGAGGAGTCGGCAACCATCTCTTCAAGGTTGTTGTGTCCCTCCTCAACATCCTGATGGATGTCGTAGGCAAGCTGCTCGTTTTCGCTGAGCTCTACCGCAATTTCATTCTCGTTGCGCGTAACCCCGCGGCTCAACTCCAATCCTCTCTGTTGCAACAAGAGGGCTCGGCCCGCGGCTGTCCTTACAATGCCAAGCTGTTCCCGCGAACCTGAGATACACTCTCGGAGGTCCGTGATGTTATTCACCCTAGTTTCGAACTCGTTGTCGTTAGGAGAAGACATCGTGACGTCTATGCTACGGTGTAATTTGTGTAATGGATGAAAGTAACGTGGAAAGAGTTTGTTGTTTATTGGTAGTATTCGAGTTACGAGGAAACCGCGTGGATGATGAGGTTGCAATGTGAAACTGAATGAGATAGGCAAAGGCTCGTGGTAAGAAATGTTATATTGGAATGACCTGAGAACTGATATGATTTCGGGAATGATTCAGACGGAATATAAGGTCGAGATACGGGCAGAACCGTCGCAAAACTGTTATTCAGGCCATTCTTTAGCACACAGCAGACTGCGTTTTTGGACAGCTTTCAACTACTTCCTAGCTTCAAAGACTCTCATAGGCCGCTATTTTCTAATCTTGAGTATCACGTTTATCGTCAGGAAGCAAGGGAGCAACGATTCTTTCTGTTCGGCGAACAAGCCTATTGACCGTCAATAATGAGTAATGCACAAGGGCAGTGGAACCTTTATTGCCACTGCAGGGTAAAAGTTTCTTACAGTGACAAGCGTATTGTTTTCTCTCTTGATTTCATGTCAAGGTCTTGAACTCGTTCTACTTGCCCAATCCAACAGATTGATTACACATCCTGTTTCCGATTTGCTTGCCTAAGCCCCGGCTGTAACAAGCATCGCTAGACCACTACTTTAGATTTCTTGGATCTCAATCTTTCTATTCATTCCAGCAGATAGGTCCCCATGATAGCTAATCCTGCATTCTCGCCTTTGTCTTGCACCACTCGCTGCATCATTCGGTAAAACAACTCGAGCCCGTCCGCGTTGATCTTCTCCTCTGCTAAGGTTGTCAAGATGGTCTGCAGCCCTTTCAACTGCATCGAGACCGGATTTCCAAAGTTCTCGTCCCAGTCCTCCTTATCCAAAGCTCTTGATAGATTGACTAGATGAGGCAAAAATGTCGAGAGGAGAGGGAGCACAATCTTCTTCATTGGTACTTCAGTTGATGGTGATTCTGTGGCCAGGTCATCGGGCCGCTGCCGCTTGAGCACATTCAGCGCGACAATTGCCCCGGAATACATGCCATACATGGCTGCGAGGGCCGCAATATCCCAGAGGCTTGCTGCGCCGGAGTCCTGGGCAACGTAGTGAGAACTTCCTAGCGGCCTGAGAATCCCCGAGACACTTTCGAATTCGGCTTCATTTTCTCCGCTAAAGAACATGGACGAGTGCATGGTGCCAATAAGCTCGGGAGTGACCATGATTGCGCCGTCGAAATATTTCGCAATACCGTTGGATTTAAGACGCGTCTCCATATCCCGGGCTTGCTTAGACGTGCCGGTGGTAATGTTGATGACCGTAATGCTTCTCTCGGTTCCTTTGAGGGGTAAAATGGGCGTTAGGACTTCGTCAATGTCATCGTAAGTTGAGACGCATAAGACAATTTTGTCGCTGTAATGCATTGCTTCGTTGATGTTTGGCTCGAACATTGCACCCCTTTCCACAAGTTTGGCGATTTTTGGTCGATCGATGTTGCGGTTCCACATTGCGACCTTCAACCCCGAGTCAAGCCATGCACTGACCATGGCGGCTCCGATATTGCCGACTCCAACGATGGTGACATCAGCGTTGTTCATCTTGATTGTCCGGATCGGCTTGTAAGTGAGATTTCGTTTTGGATGTTTCCCGTATGAATGAGGTTACTTGGAATCTTGATTGGGGGGCATCGGATCATATATATATCACCATCGAAGACTTCACTTTCGGCTGACGCCTATGAGAATGACACCTCTACAGCGCTTTTTGCCAGGTTTATCGTCTACTACTTTTCCGAGTTGTGAATAACAGGTCTCGGTTTTCGGTTGTTACGGCCTCCGAGTGCACATGTTGAGCTCGACATTTTCGACATCTTGTTCATCCCACCGTCTAGAAAATTGCCCAAAACAGTCAAACTCCAAGTTCAAACTTTCGGAGTTCTGTTATGGCGCAATTTCATCTCGTAAATGAACCAATGGCGTCCTTTCCCGTGCGTTTTCGGATTCCGACTTCCGATGAGACCCAAAAGACATCCTCGTAATTCGCGAACTAATTCTTGCGCACATGAGTTTAAAAGCCAAGGCTGCGCTGTATCATAGGCGTAGAAAAAAAGTTTAGAAGTTGTTTTAAGAACAATATCCTAAGTCTAAAGGCTCATTTTTGCATCAGTTGGAAAACTACGTGGTCATCTTCTAAGCTTACATGTAAGGTAATGACGAAGGCGTGGAGTCATGCATGGATGTAGTCATGGATGGGCTCTCTCGGTTATCCTTCCGTTCATCTAAACAATCACGCCAAGATTTCTAGGACGTCTTTGCGATATGTATATATGGAATTAACAGAGTGGTTCGCCTCTTAGAAGGGGATCCTAGTATCTATGGTCGCTCAAAAAAGACAGGCTTGACGTGAAAATCATCAACATCGCCGCATAACACATTATTTGCAACAATCATGCTGTTGCAAAAGTCTACTATCACCGCTTAAATCCACAGAACAGAAATTTCAGTTCAAGAATCCATCGTGCAGCTTGAGCAGGTCGATGCCGGAGAAACGGCCTGCTGAGGCTCGCTTTGCGTGATCTTGCGGCATCGCCGAGGAAACAAGTTGTTTCTTAACCGTTGGTGAATCTTTTTGTAATGTTCCCTCTATTTCCAAGTCAGTGTTTGCTGCAGATAACAGGGCGAGACTAACGCGTACCATATTGTCCTTGCGACTGAAGATTCTGTCGCAGTCGGGGTGGAGACACCGGACTGCGGGCTTGTGAGACCCCATATGTCGCTGGAAGTCCTTGCGAGTCGCGAAGCCGACGCCTGCTTGCTGGCAACGCTTCTCGGTGCAGAAGAAGTACTTTGCGTGGCCCCGGAAATGCTTTCGCAAATCACAGGCTCTAAGAAAGACGCGCGACGAGCAGCACCCTGCGTACCGGCAACGCCAGTTTCCGGCGACATCGAGGTAGCCCATCTGATGAAGATCCGAAGGACCCCAGCTGTCGACCTCTAGCTCTTTGGGAGGTGAGCTTGGTGATGTGGTCACACTGCTGGGTGATGGGGCGAACTCGAATTGCTCGCTGGGGACAGGTGAGAAATCCGGGGGAGGAGAGGGCGTGGCGTAGGCGGTGTTGAATGTGAAGTCCGAATCCATAGAGAGTGTTGGGCTGGTGGCCATCATTGGCATTGGTTGCTGGCATGTTTGGAATGAGAAAGGGTACAGAAAGCTGTCGAGGCTATCCCCAGAAGGGTAAGGAATGAACTGGGAGTCAAAGGTGTATCCCATGTTGCCGTCGACACTGGGGAAGAAAGTGTGGGAGGTTTCTTCGAGATAGGACTCCATGGCGCCTGATACCTGCAGACAGAGAATTGAATGATAAGAAATGGTTTGAAGAAATCAGAAAGCCGCCGAGAAGATTTTGAACTGTGATCTGGAGAGAAGCAGAAGAAGCGATCTTGGCGAGAACCGGATCGACGCTGGCGTTTATGTATCTCACGATCTGGGCTTTCCCACCATCCATCACCCGTCACCCGTCATCGTATGCAAGTCATATAAACAAGGTGGTATATCTCGTGTCGGAATGCAACGTCGGCGCCTACCCTCCAAAACGCCGGGGGGTTGGTGATGGATGCATGGCATCCGGCGAGAGGGTGAACCGGGCCATAAACGGCCTGACGACGGCGGAACAATGGCAGGGCCCACATGAAAGAGGCGTCGCCCTCTTCCTCTCTCGGCAAATGCGTTAGACTTTTGAGATCTCAGCAGATCTATTCCCTATCTAGGGACAACCGACCGACCGTTTCAATTGTCAGCCATTTGACATCGGCGTTAGGTGCGTCGATGCCAAGGATCTCGTGGCACGAACAGTTGGGGAAATGAGGGGAGACGGCGGAACAAGTGTGCATCCGCTGAAATGCGATTCGCTAACCAGAACGTCCAGGAGGCCATGTTGCAGCGTCAGATCGCCTGGAGATCACGAAAATTGCACAGCCCGTCGCCCAGGGTCAGATATAGCTATTATAGCCCCTCCTCAGCTTAATCACGACAGTCATCAATGTCAATGGGGAGAGGAGGTTCGTGCGCAACGCGGGACGGGATGCCACCGTCTTTTCTAAGCGCTGACTGAACTTAAGACAGCGTCTTAATGGACATCTTGTGCCCTAAAATTGTAAACATCTCGCTGGGACATGCTGTCTTCTGGCGGCTGATTGCGGGGAGGTGTCATGGTGATGGGTATGGATCCCCTTGTTCCCGATGTTGATTGCGATTGGCTCTTGGAAAGCTGTCAAGCCAAACCATAAAGTTAAGGAAGCGCAGAGTTCCGAGATGGCCTTCTCATGAGCCAATCGGTAGCCAAGAACTTTTGACATGTCGAGGCTGTCTGGGATTGATCCATGATGCTGTTCCCGCTTCAGACTTGACAGTCTATTGGAAAGCAGTTATTCATCCACGGAATAAACACGGCCTCCCAATCACAGCCAAGTCGTGCCCCCTTGGCCTTTCTCTGACACCTGGAAGCCAATTCCGTAAGGCTGGACGACAGGCCCGTCAAGTGTCCCAGACGGATAAAAGTGGTTCTCTTCAGGGGAATAGCGAGATGCGATTCGCTCATGAGAATCGACCTCAGCCACGCTCAGCTGCATGACTCGAGACGTTCGGTGGGGGTTTCTTCCTCCGTGTTCACTGGATCGTCACCCTTCCTTGCCATGATCGGCCGGGCTCGCCAACGTCACTTTGTCAATCTAGGCCTCCTCGAAACTGCCCACCTTGACGGTTGAAGCAATGCCATGATCACGGCGACGACGGCGAGAGCGGCTATGGCGCGTGTCATGTACCCCGCCGATAAACACGTTCCGGTCGATCATCAGCGGAGGAGGCCTCTCCTTCTCCGCCGAACTGAGTTTAATATGTGGTTGATAGAGACACCGGCCGAGAGCAGCGAGTATTCTTCCACAGGCCTGGCCTATACTATACGTGTTTTGTTTGCAGTGATAGCCAAGCTGATGGCCCTGCCCGGCTGGGTTCTTCCCGTTGATTCCCCTTGTCGCTTCTGTCTGGCTAGACCGGCGCCGGAGCGCCACACTGCATCAGGTTCATGTTGAAGACCAGAAATGTTCTTGAGTTTATCACAGTTAGGTGGTCACATCAATTATAACTGCGGATAAGGACGGCCTACTCTCGTCCCGGTGTCATCATAGTGAATATCCCCCACGCCGATGATCCACGCTGGTGCTGTTGATCGATGCTGCACATCTACGCAGACGTAACGGCATCTGGCTTAATCTAGCTGCTGTGGAAACTAGTTTCAGGGAAACAAACATGCAAGATCACCGCTGGGGTGCTGGCACCACGCGCAGGACTAGCAACGCTGTCGCGCCGTTGGCTCTGGACAGGGGTGAAGGAGAGCAGAGTGTCATCCTCAGCAACACCCTCCATGGACAAACGTAGAACAGGGTCGCATTTGACCGTGCCTGCCTCATGTGAGATAAGATTCCTGGCATATCGACTGGACAGGGATGGTGCGACATGGCTGCGCGATGCAGAGTCGCATCTTGAGTTCTGGAGACTGGTTCTTGGGGGATGTGCGACTCGCAGTTCGTCCCTGTGCTCTTGGCCGAAGTCCTGAATGGTTCATCAGTTTGGGCAGACGATGTTACTGTTGCTCGTCTGCTCTCGAATCCGATTCGAGAAGCGCAACAGTCGAGTCCGTCAGGCCACCGGTTTAGAAATGGAACGAAAGGATCGTGAGATGTATAGATAACCGAAACGACCGTGCAAGATGGGAGCGGAGACGTGCCGAATGTTCGGGTGGTCTGTCATCCAGCGTGTTGGAATCTTTGACAGATGAAGGTGAATCAGTATGAAGTTACGAATCCTAACATTCTACCGATGGTTTAGGCGAGTCGGCGACTGCTAACACGTGCGAGAAGGAATTGTAGCTCAAACTTCTGGGTCTATTGACGTTGAGACCTCGCGGCTCCCGAGAACCCGGAAAAAGCAAGCAAAAGATGGGGAATCTTAGCAATGTTTAAACAAGAAACATAGCCAGGAACCCTGAGAAGATCTTGCTGCACGTATGTCCGGCAAAGCCACAGGAGGATATGCTTGTCAACTTACCCTAGTGGCTGCTGAGGAACATGTGGCTTGTGTGTGTTCGTAAGACGACAAGGGTAACTAGTCTCTTACTGCTGGGTTTCCTAGCATGCGTCTGCCAGCATGTTCTGCATCATCTCTTGCAACTGAGCCGAGAACCGAATAACGTTGATGGTGTCTCCGTTAAGCTTCGATGGGTACATGGTTACCAGCGCCGCCTCGTGGCTATCCACATACCGAAGCTTATCAAACGTTACCGTTTTGGTGACCCTGCAGACTAGGTTAGTTGTTATTTTCTGGCGTTACCGCGTTAGGGTGTTGTCGGACTTAGTACAATCGTGAATAGGAGTCATATGTGAAGCGTGACTCATAACACCGGAGCTCACTTACCGTCGTGCCTCACAAAATTGACACATAAAAGTGATTTCCCAAAAACCGCTCTTGAGTCGGTGTTACACCTATCAACCATATTCTGCCATTCAAATCCAGCGTCAAATTTCACAATGGCTCTTCCGTCAAAACCTCGACCAAGAGTCTATGTCAACGGCTTCCCAGGAACAGGCAAGCTGACTATTGCCAAAGTTCTAGGCCATGCCAGCGACAAAATCAAGCTGGTGCATAACCACCTCCTCATAAACCCTGCGGAAGCCGTGCTGAGCCGGGATCAGCCGGGCTATCAAGACTTGCGTCGTCGTATCCGCTCGGCGATTTTTGAGTCGCTCATTCATGAGCCATCCACCTACTCAACACTTTACATTTTCACAGACGCCCAAACAGCCAACGAGGCAGGAACGGCTGTCTGTCAAGAATACAAGGACTGTGCCGACAGGCGAGGTTGCGATTTTATCCCCATTACGCTAGATTGCGATGAACAGACCAATCTGGGCAGACTACTTGAAGGTGGCCGGCAAGCGCAAAGGAAGTTAATTGACACTGAGGTTTTGAAAATGTTCCGGGCTGGCGAAGACCTGTACGATTTTAGTGGACACTCTCATCGATTACGGATTGACGTGTCTCATTTGACGCCTCAAGTTGCGGCAAGCAAGATTCTTGCCCATATTGTAAATGTTTGTCCCGATGACACTCGCGGCCTTGTTATTACGGTATAGCAGTCTCATTAGGTGTTGGTCTACTAGAAAATTACGGGGGAGACGAGAGATATCAGAAACGCACTCTTTATCAAGATAGCATTGATCGGATTGTCGTCTTATTGATAGCCGCCATGCAAGTCAATGCGCGACGAATGTAGTCAAATTGAGCTGCGTCTGAACCTCGCCAAGTCGATGTTTACCTACCCTGTTGATAATTATCGGTCCGTCCATTGGCCAGCTGCATGTGCTGAGTAGACTCAACGAGTGACGTCGGTAAATAACCAAGTTTCTTACTTGCCGCGATGCGCGCGAGGGATTTCCCTGATAACATCTCACGTACAGACTTTTTTCTTGATCCACCGGAGGTCCACCGGAAGCACGCCGGTGGCTCCCGGAACGCTCACTGGCCTGCCGAGCTCTCGGTCTGATTCGGCGCTTCCGTCCTGAGACGATCTCGGAAGGTGACGGGCATCACAACGGTGGGTTTTTCGTCCCTGGAAAAGTCGCCAGATACGTCATAGGTGGGGTGAAAAAGTGGTCCTGGCATTTGAGAAGATGCCCCGCGGTCGGTGTAGGCGGGGTGCTCGGTGAAGGAGGGACTGACCGAGGCTTACCGAGGACGCGCTCAATTGGAGGTAGAAACGGCTTCAGCCTTTTCCACAACGCCAAACAGCTGATTTAATGGGTTAATTAACGGTCAACAAACACAATTGGCTCCCAAATTCCAAAGCATCCAGCCCAGCCATGGCGCAACATCTCACCGTCCTCGTCTCGAGGTACTGGAGGCAGATACAGCTGACATCTGTGGCCAGCCGTCAGCATCCGTGCCGGAATCCACTGTCCGTCGCGATTCATGAGTAAGCCCGGCAACCGGAGAAAGCTTTATGGCTCATCCCACTCTAACACCACCACCCCATCCCGTCAAAGCCTCTTCTTTCTGGCCGACCCCATGTTCACCTCCTGCAGCAGAGCATCTTTATTAATAAGATCAACCATCTCGTCCCTCCGCCAGTCCTCTTCTCGTACAACTTCACCACTCCTCTCACCCTTCTCACCACCCCGCACAAGCACAGCCGTCACACCAAAACTCTACTACGCCCGCGCCATGTCCTCCGCAGTATCCCTCGTCGAGTCGGCCAAGAAGGCCGCCGCCTACCGTGCCGTCGATGAGCATCTCGATGCGTCGGCCCGCTTCGTCGGCATCGGCTCCGGCAGCACCGTCGTCTACGTCGTCGACGCCATCGCCGCAAAGGGCCCCTCCTTCTGGTCCAACATGACCTTCTTCCCCACTGGCAGCCAGTCCAAGGGCCTCATCCGCGCCGCCGGCCTTCGCCTGTGCAACCTCGACGAGAGGCCATTGGGCCCCGACGGCAAGCTTGTCGCCCTGGATGTTGCGTTCGACGGTGCGGATGAGGTCGACGCGGACCTGAATTGCATCAAGGGCGGCGGTGCCTGCTTATTGCAGGAGAAGCTTGTCGCCATTGCCGCCAAGAAGTTCGTTGTTGTTGCTGGTGAGTCTTTTACGGGAAACGCCTCGGGTGGAGGTCCGAGCGAAAAAGTGTGAACGCAGACGAGCTGACGAGAACCCGCAGACTACCGCAAGCTCTCTCAGAGGCTACTCACCAACTGGAAGGCCATCCCCATCGAGGTCCTCCCCATGTCCGCCCCGGATGTTCTGGACCGTCTTACGGACCTCGGCTCTATCAAGCCCATCGTCCGTCCGGGTCTGCCCGCCAAGGCCGGCGAGGCCGTCACCGACAACGGCATGTGGATCATCGACGCGCCGTTCCCCCAGCTCCTCCTGCCCTCGGACGTCGAGGCCGGCGCCAGCCGCAACGCCGCTGGCGCGTGGGAGGTCTCGGCGCTGGCCAAGGAGCTGCTGCTGATTCCCGGCATTGTCGAGATCGGCATCTTCCACGGCCTCAACGGGCTGCAGGCGGCCCAGGCCGGCAAGTTTGGTCTTGCCCAGAAGCCGGTCGCGGCGTACTTTGGTATGGAGGATGGCAGTGTTAAGGTTACTGGCGCATAGATGGCATGGCATATTACTGATATTTAGAGCGAATTTGAATAGAATGGAGTTCAAAAGGTCAATTAACAGCGACCCAAAATCTGTCTGCAAAGATGTATTGATGCGACGATATGAAGATGGCTGGGATGTTTTGTCTTTCCGAACGGATGAGAGGGACCGCGAGCAACTTCAACGAGGTAGGTCTCTTCATTACAGATTAAAACGACATATAACGTTAAGCTAGACATGTACAGGCAACACCGTGAAATGCTTACAGGTCAATATCAACTGACGGACGTGATCCTCATTCCGTATACACCATGCGCTGGCTCCTCAAGCATCCAGGACCTTCCAGCCGCCGACAAGGAGATTAGTGTAGATCCTTAGTGGGTCGTACTTTGTTCGAACAGCTTTGAGTCTCGCAAGATTCGCAGCCGGATAAGTCTGGAAGATTCGCTGGCCCTTGCCCGCGTCATTCAGGTACAGATATCCGCCAGCCACGCCCTTGGCCTCGAGAGCAGCTTCAATATCAGCAGTGACAGCCTCCGCGAAACCGCGCGCTGCCGCGTCGTCCTTGGCATCTTGCCAGGACAGGTTCTCGACGACCCAGAAGTACGGCGCCTTGGCAGGGTCCACGCCCTGCGGATTGGGCCCGCCGCGGCTGATGCCCTGCTCGATGAACTCCTTGGTGATGGGCTGGAAGGTGATTGACGCTGACAGGCCAACTATGGACGAGAGCTTGGATGTGGCGGCCGCGATGAAAGAGTCATGGACGAGGTCAACGGCCTCGCGGTTGACGACCAGCGATAAAACGCGGAACCTGCGTGTATGTGTTAGCCTGGATTTCGTGTGTTATTCTCCGAGGGGCAACTTACTTTTGGCGAAGGCCAGTGGGCTGGAGGGCATCAACCGCGCTGACATACTCCGCGAGCGGCTGCAAGGCATACGAGTCCGCTACGGGCGCAAGGACGGGCGAAGTGAAGTTCTCAAACGCCGTCGCAGGCTCAGTCTCAGAGTCGTAGAATCTCGCCGCGGCGTAGGCGGTGATGTTGTACGATGGATAGGTCAGGATCGTCGGGATGATGGCCGCCTTGCCGTCAGCGGACCCATACTTGCCAAAGTTGTACACGGCATCGAGGTACTTTGCGCTGTCGCTCTGAGCGTACTGCGAGATGCCGACCCAGACCTTGGGCGACGTGACGGTCTTGAGGTCGAAGCGAGTGACGATGGCGAAGGAGTTGCCGCCGCCCTTGAGGGCCCAGTACAGGTCCGAGTACGCGTTGGTCGCCGTGGCTTCGACGACGAGACCGCTGGCCAAGACGGCCTGGTAGCGCACCACGTTGTCGGCCGCGAAGCCGTACTGGTTCGAGTAGAAAGATATTCCGCCGCCGAGAAGCAGACCCGAGACGCCGACGCTGCCGATGCGACCCCCGACCACGGCCAGGCCGTAGGGCTGGAGGTATGAGTACACGTCCCTCCACCTGTGTCCGGCGCCCACGGAAACGGTCGTCTTGTCATCAGACACGGCGAGCGTAGTGAGGTTCGAGGTCGACAGCAGAACGCCGGAGGAGCCAATGCTGTTGTAGCTCACAACCGGCATGTGTCCGCCGCTGCGGACTGCGAATTTGGTCAAGCTCAGCGTCAGAGTCGTGACGGCGAAGGAGATCTGCTGTGCATTCTGAGGAACAAACACGCATGCCGGGCTGTTGTAGGCCGTGGCCGACCAATACTGCGTCCGTGTCTCGTAGGTATATCCAGCAGACTCGTTGAAGAATGTTTGCGCGGGGTACTTCTTGCTCAGCACCGAGCAGGCAACCTTCTCGGAGCCGGGTAGGCTAGCGACAACGGCTGAAGTCGTGGCGGCCGTCTCAACGGCCGTGGCGCCGTGAAACGAAGCGCAGGCCGCAAAAGCAGCAGCAAAAAGTGACACGCGAACCATGGTTGCAGACTCGACGGGGCAGACTTGGCAGGGAGGATTCACGTCGCGAAAGCCTCAGAGTTGCAATGGTTGCAGGAGTAGATTTATCTCTCATTCTCGATTTTCCTACGTCCTGCCCGTCGTGGCGAACGAAATATATTAAACCTCACCGGGACGATCCAGGGTCCCCATGAACCTGCAGCGAAATGTCGTTAGCGAAGGAATGTCCATGGTCGGCTGCAACCTGCAGTAGTGGCTTCATCTGGCGACGGTCTCATTGGCACGCTGTCTGCATCCCTCGCAGATCCGAGATGAGGTTTCCTGGTGTTGGTGGCGGACGACCCCGGTCACCACCAAGACATCCTTGCGTGCCCCCCGTCCCCCACGGCTCGACTTGGGCTAGCATCTTCGACGTGGGAAAGTGACAGCTGCCTCGGTTGCGATCTCTTCGATTGCAGCCGGTCTATCCGCCGTTGAAGGATTTTTTTTTCTTTTGTCTTTTCTGCTCTCTGGTCCCTGTGAGTCTGCAGGAGACGAGACGTGTGGCGTTCCGGCGCAGATGGCTTGATCTAGCAGGTCGGAGCGGGGAGGATTCGAAATGGGAGGACAAAGGGTAGAGAGGCCTCTCCTCTGTGTGTGTATATGTCCGGTTCGTCGCACTCTCCACGCATTTTTCTGCGTCACGTCCCGACATCATTGTGGAACGAACGACGTTTGTCACGAACTGCGCCGCCGGGACGGCGCTTGACTGGTCGGCATCATGGCGACGCAAGTGCTTGGCTTCACCGAGATGATGGTAAGACAGCCCGATTGCGACCCCCGCTTCTCCGGAGTCCCGCTCGGGTATCACGTTAGCTGATCTCCGGGACCCGTCTTACCCTCCGTTGCATCGGTCGCTCGGATAGCATGGTGCTAATGCGACTCTCTAGATCCTCATCTGGGTGTCGTGGTTCGTCGCCTTTGGAATGACAATCTTCCGTGGCACCTCTCAGTGGATGCTGCAGCGACGGCTTCACGCGGATGACTACTTCATCTTCGCTGGGCTTGCCACGTTGACGGCTTTGAGCGCTGTCATTACGAGCATGTTGCCCCAGTTATATCTCTCTGGGGAGTACACCAAGGCCGCGGCCAAGGAGCCCTTGACTCCTCTGCCGTTGCCGGTGGACGAGTTTATGGCGAGGACAGTTGCGTCGCTCAAGATGATGTTTTCCCAGATGCTGCTCTTCTGGACGACATTGTGGGCTGGTACGAGCTTTCGAGTTCCCGATACCTCCCTCGACATTAAGCTGATCCCAAATTGTGGTAGCCAAGTTCTCAATCCTCTTCTTCGTCCGGCGGCTCATCATCGGGTTGCCCAACTACATCCGGGCATGGTGGGTGTGTTTTACTGTAGTTCTGCTGCTTTATCTCGCGTGCATGCTGTCCAACTTCTTGACTTGCACGCCCTTGGAAAAATACTGGAGCACAAGTAAGCCACGCATGATTCCCAAGTATCACCAGCGACGCACACTGACACTTCGGAAACCCAGCTGGATGCAGTGCCCCAGAAGACCTCGTACGGGCCGACGCCTCCATCAAATTCGCAACAAGCGCCGACGTCGCCGCCGACATCTTCAGTCAGTCCACCTCTCACCGTCCCTCTCCTCATCAACTAAACCAAACCCGCGCCAACCAGTCATGATCCTCCCCCTCAACCTCCTCCGCAAGCTCACCACATCACGCACCCACAAACTCGGCCTCGTCGTGCTCTTCTCCCTCGGCGCAATCATCATCGCCTTCGCTCTCGTCCGCCTGGTGCAAGTAACCAAAGCCACAAGCGACACCGCAAAAGACCCCACGACCGTCGCCAACGGGCCGGTGCTCCTGAGCATGTGGAGCCACGTCGAGTCCACCGTCAGCATCATCGTCGCCACGCTGCCCGCGTTCCGCTTCCTGCTGAGCAAGAGCCGCAACGCGACGCGGCAGGCGCCGTCCAAGTACGCTGGCCAGACCATCGGCGGGTCGGGCATGTCGTTGAGGTCCAGGAGGTGGCAGAGAGGCGGGGAGCGCTTGAACGGCGGGGAGAGCGATGGCTCGGTGTTGGATAGCGAGACGGAGTTACGGCCGGTGAGGGGTATTCACAAGGAGGTTGAGTATGTAGTCGAGCCGGTGCCGGGGGTGTCTGCTTCTGGAGAGAACAGGCGGAGAACGCAGGAGCTTTTTGCATGATCTTTATGGTGAATTTGATACTGCCGGGCTGTTATCTACAATCTTGGATAAGACTATCGTTTGTCACGTCTCAAATTTCTCGACTAACAAGCGCAGTCACTGCTATTCGCGGGCCCTTGCTCCATGTTGCGAGACCGAGAATCCCCCCATGATTCCTTCAGCAACTTTCTGGGACATGAAGCGGACTAGTTCTTGTAACACTTAAAGCTAACAGCCTTGCCGTTCATTTTCTGCAGCGAGTACGTTCCCGGTCCGGAGATGTCTGCAGTGCTTCGAAGCACCGCCGCATGAGCTTCTACTACGGAGCCAATATATTTCCCCGTAAGAGTAATATGGCAGCCAAAAAGGTGCGCATCCAGGCGTTAAACTGCGAAAGAAAAGGTTAGAGGATCATGTTACTATAATTATACGCTGGATGCCTTGAAAGAAATTGCAAGCTAAGTAACTCATCAATTCAGCTCTATGGTGAGCGGAGCTACTGTCGGTGCGACCAGGCTCTCGCCCTTATGAATCTTTTCCAAACGACTTCATTGCTTTCTAGCCTGGAATATCTCTCTTGCGGTCTTCCTATCTCTTGCCATGGTCATTCTTTCTTTTTGGTGTTGTCGCATGTGGACGGGCTGGTGCGGAGAGAGGTAACCACAATCACGACGGTGTAGAGGACTCGGTTTTGACAGTCGGACCAGTCGGTTTGGGACTTCTCGGTGGGGCTCGCAGTCTCGTGAGCACTCGGTTCGCCAGGTCTATGTCTTCTTGGCTGCCGTTTTCTTCTTGGCTGTCGCTGTCTTCTTTGCTGTCATCATCTTCTTGGCTGGTGTCATCTTGACTGCCATCGGGGTCTGCCTGCTTGTCCTGGAGACTGTCCATTCTGAGTCTCTTTCTGCAGAAAGTGTCAGTATAAGGAGATTGTTAAGTAGAAGAGATGATTATTCGATAACTTACAGTGTCATGAGAGTCTGGAGGTCTTCCTCCGCGTGCCTAAGATTCCTTTTATTGAAGAACTTGCTGTGATCCGAGGATGTGAAAGCCCCTTTGCTGTCCTGTATGATCCACCTGTAGCGGTTGACTGCCTTTTGAGCATGCTCGACAGCCTTAGTGATGTCTTGAGACTTGGAGAGGAGCACGTTCAAGACAGCCTTGTGAGTTGCAGGCAGTCCCGACTCCTCCTGGAGTATGTTTTCGGCCAGGTCAAGGGCTTCGTCAAGCTTGTCTTGAGCACAAAGGCCCCAGGCTTTGTCACATCTGATGGCAAGTTCCTTGAGTATTTTGTCATATTCGGTCTCGAAATGCGACATGATGGGGAAGTTGTGCTGTAACACTCGAATGGCGAGGACAACGGAGGACGAAGGCAAGGTCGAACGATGATTGAGATGGATGATGGATAGAGCGAATTGATCAATGGTAGACTCCAAAAAGCGCGGTCTGGTTTCAGAAGTAACCGTGAAGTTGAACTTGTAGGCAAATAGCTGTTTAACACGGGCTGAATGTCGTGGAAGAAAAGAGGTTGATGGGTTGAAGTGGGAGAGGGTGAGTAGAGGCAACCCGGTGTCATTCGAGATTGATTAGCTTCAGGGTCGTGTTTGCTTCAGGCAAGAGGCATTCGAGCGCGATTGCCTCGTGGTCGTGATGAATACGTCACAGCCGACTGTGTGTCCTACAATTGGAAGCGACGAAGACTCAGTTTGGCTGATAGATAAATGGTCTACGCCTTCTTCGTCCGTTGAAATCGAGCAAGATTTGCAAACAAGGCATGGCCGCCCCTCCAGTCCCACGCCCGGCTTCCAGCATTGCCTTTTCTATTCTTTGCCTGTCCACGCTCATTCTCTCTTTCTTCTACTCAATCTTGCTTCAGAAAATCCTGCCTCAGTCGTATGTCGCCGCCGACAATTTTCGACGCAAGTCTCCCTCTTCTTCTTGTTCTTGCCGAGCCATCAATGTGTTCAGACGCGAGGCGATCTCATATTTGATGTACGTCATCCTTTCGTATTCTCTACATCTAGATATTATTCTCATAAGCCATCAAGAGTCGAGCTGGTTCCTTCCAAGCGACTGTCATAGGGCATGCCGCTCAGGGCCCCCCTGATTCCAGGAAAATGCAACCAAGTAACGCCGTCGCCTCTTGCAAGAAGCGCCCCATCATTAGAGTCTATAATTAAGAGAGATGTAAAAGTCCTCCGACAATTTGGCACATTGGTATCTGTAAACGACAGGAAACACATGCAAGCTATCAAAACACACAAAACATTCTCTCCCTGCTCGTGTCGCTTCTCTAAGCGGCACCGGAGAGGTTCGCGGTGTTGAGCTTGCCCCATCTTGAGCCGAGGGAGATGAGGAATGAGACACCCGCGCCGGCGATGGCAATGGCGAAGGTGACCTTGAGACCGTCCATGTAGGCGTGGATGATGCCCGGGACGGCATCGGCCGGGAAGGCGTTGCGGATCTCGGTGGCGCCGGTCAGGGCAACGAGGTTGGGGTCAACGCTGGGGGCGTACACCGCGACCTTCTTGAGGACGGTGACGAGGAAGCCTGACTGCGCGCCTGCTACGAAGAAGGCTCCGCCGACGGTTTGGAAGACTATGATGGTTGTTAGATGAAAGTCCATGAATAGGTGGGGGGCGCGAAGGATCACTTACAAAGCAGAATGGCAGTAGAGGACGCCATGTCGGTCTCGGAAACCGTACCCTGGACCGCGATGATGGGAACCTGGAATGCCGCGCCCCAGGCGAGACCGGCAAGAGCCTGGTAGCCGATCCACTTGTCGCTGCCCGTGCCGATGTCCAAGGTGTAGAGAAGACCGGCACCGACCGTCGCGACGGCGCCGCCGACAACCATGATCGGTGCGTAGATACCCGTGGCGGAGATGGAGATACCAGATGCGATCGTGGCAATGGTAACGGCGATGATAATGGGCAAGTTGCGCACACCGGATTCGGTAGGAGTGGCATTGTCGACGGACTGGAAGTAAATCGGGAGGTAGTAAACCAGCACGAAGTAAGAGCCGGCGAAGAAGAAGGCGTATGCCGAAGAGATGTGTATGGTCCTGTCCTTGATGAGGCGAGGGGCAATCATGGAACGCTCACCCTGGTACCATTCCAGGACGATGAACGCGACAAGGATCAGCCCGAATCCAACAAAGAGACCGATGATGGTGGATGAGTTCCACGGGTGTGTGCTTCCTCCCCACTGAAGGGCGAGAAGGAAGGCGATGGTGCCGCCCATGATCAGGGAGGTGCCGATCAGGTCCATCTGGAGGAACTTCTCGAGCGCACTAGCCTTCTGGGGCACGGCCTGGGGTGGCGTGTGGAAGAAGAAGAGGATGATGGCCGCGCCGAGACCTCCAACGGGCAAGTTGATGTAGAAGCACCATCTCCAGCTCACGTGGTCAGTGAATGCGCCGCCGATAAGGGGGCCGATGACTGAGGCCAATCCGTAGGAGGCACCGATGATGCCGGTGAACGTCGGGCGTTTGTCGGGCGGGGCCGAGAAGCCGATGATCGTGTAAGCTCCGGAGCCGATACCTGCCGCCCCTACACCTGCAATGGCACGGCCGACGATGAGAGCAACGGAGTTCGGGGCGACGGCGCAGATGAGACTGCCAAGTTCAAAGATGAAGATGGAGAGGAGGAACGACCACTTGAGTGGGAAGTACTTGTAAGCCTTGCCCCCTGTCAGATCGTTAGTATCGTGAAACTCGGGGAGAAGGGGTGTTGACGGAGGCAATGGAACTTACATGTTGACTGGAAGGCGGCAACACACATGAAGAAGGCAGCGCCGTACCACGATACTTGGTCGAGACCCTTGAATTCGTCGGTGATCTTCGGGATGGCGGTTGCGACAATCGTCATATCAAGGGCGATGAGGAAAATGCTGAGAACGAGGGCGAAGACAATGAGGCCGAGGGCGAATCCGGAAGGATACTCGGCGTTGGCCGGCTCCTGAGGCTGCACCTCACCGGCTTCCTCATCGGTCCCGGCGCCGGCCTCCTCCTTCTTTTCAACGGTGCCCTCCCCGGCGAGGACTGATGGTGATGGGCTGGTGGTTTCTCCCTCCTTGTCACTTCCCACTCGCTGTGAGCGGTCCCGGGGGGTTACCAGGGTGCTGGTTGTGGACGTCATTGCGACGGTAGTCTCGATGGATACTCGGCGTGTAATGAAGCTCGATATGAATGGCGATCCGTACTAGTTGGATTCTCGGCCGAGAGAGACGTCGAGCTTGTCGAGGTTAAGGTTGAATGTCTCTGGAGTGCGTGCCACAAGAGGGACCGAGACGGGAATCCGGGGGGGAGACCGGGAGGCTTTATGTGTGTGAAAGAAACGCCATGAACAGATAGAGCACCGATTTTTAGACCGGACTTTGGGGGGACGTTGAACCCGGCGCCCGGACGAGGGACAGTAGTGGGAAGAGACGGAAGTACCTTGGGATGCTCACTCTCTGGATGCAGACAAGAACAAGCTGACGGCGGGCCAATCCTCCGCTGCGCACATCCCATCTCACACGGCGGAGACATTTTTTGACGCGATGGCTCATCGTGTATGGTGCAAGACCTAAGCCTTGGGTACCGTGTTACAATAGCATAACGGTAATGGGGATGTTAGACCCGGCGCGGTGGATGGTGGGAAACCGATTTACGAAGGATGCGTTAGGCCGGGACGGTACGACAGTACAACACGAATATGGTGTGGGTGTGTGTGTGTGTGTGCGCGCGAGTCTTGGCCGGGTGTGTTGGGACGGCGTCATTGGTAAGCCCTATCGACGGGTATACACCGAAGACCGATGTAGAGAGGTAGAATGAGAGAGAGAGAGAGCCTGATGAGCGCCTATCAGCAAGACTTGGGCGTTGCTGCTTGGTAACCACGACATCCAATCTCCGCCCGCGTGCCGCGTGTTGTGAATGTGTGGTTGTGAGTATGAGTCCCCCCTTGCCTTGCCGCGCAGCACCTCATCTCAGTCTTACACGGCTCACTGGACGTAGATCTGGAATGTTCCGAAAAGTCCGCGTAGCATCCCTTGCTCTTCTTCTGAGGCTCTCCTAACCAAGTCCCCAGTCTCGTGCAGCAAGGAATCTTACGGTACCTGCTGGCAGAAACCCCCTGTCTGATAATCCTGATAGGCTCCTGCGGGCAGGGTAGCTGCTGTAGTACCGGTTCCGCCGACTCGGTGGAAGAAGGGGGACATAAGGTAATCCATCCCAAATTCCCCCGAGACGCCCAAAGAAACAAATGGTGCTCGGCGGAGTTTGCGTGAAAGGGAGTTAAGCGGCGGAGGGAGTCAGACCCGACGGCACTTTTTGGGGTCGATCCGTGGACTAATTGGAGCGCGCTTGCGAGCGGATTGCGCCTTGGGTTCGTTGACTTTGCGTCCACTTGGGGATAGCTCGATGTTTCACTGGCACTCTCTTTTAGGGGGCGTAAGACTGCAGACGGATAAGGCTGCGCTTGTTGCCCGTCTGATGCGCGCCACATCATCAGAACAAGATACGGCACTGAGCGCCTCGTCGCACTTCGGACGAATAGCTCTCTCGCATGCTGAGGCCTGATTTGATTTGTAAAGGGCGGCCGTGTGCGCCGCTCGGTACGTGACGCTTCGCCTGCCGGTGACTGCTGTCTACCGGCACTGCGGACTTTTGCGGGCCAATATCCGACGACTTGCGGAGGATAAAACTTGGAGTGGAATAAGTCAACAACATTGATTTAGGCTGTTTAAGCTTAGGGCTAGAGGAGTGCAAAGATGGTGTCGTTCGCTCATCAACAGAAGGTGGAGTCGACCCTGAATCTGACAAGAGGGTGGATGAACGTCTCCATCGAGTAAGGTTGTTGGCCATGGAACATTGTTGTTTTGTTTGTTCTTGTCTCCGCATGCAAGAAATCCGAGTCTGCCCGCTAGTCATCTCGACTGGCAGGCAGCCGTGATGGCAGTGCTCGGGCGGGATCGTCGCGTCCCACGAGAATTAAGGAAAAAGGAGGATTTCGTACAATGGGCGAATAGCAGACGGCGCTGGCACGGGATGCTTGAGTAAGCCGAGGACGCCAGAAGCTGATGGCATGAATCACTCGGCCATCAGGGCACGGGACAAGGGGGGAAGAGCCATCACGAGTGGCTTGACGCTGCGGTCTTAGGTCAGAGCGAAGTCAAATTTGAGCCACTGATTCACCATAATGCCTGCTCGACCCGGAAATAGGAGATAGTCGGGGGCCAACGCCATTGGGGGCCCTAACGGCACGGCAGACACAGACGAGAAACCAGGAAAACAAATGGTGCCAGACCACGGATGTATGCCCGTCTCAAGGGTCCGAGA